CCCCCAAACCCGCAAACACATATATGACCCTCAGTCTGCCCCAGCCCCCTCATCAGCATGCATAGCACCCCAGTCCAGTGTCCAGCCGCACACGTAGCAGTCGCGTAAAGCAAGAAAGTAAGTAACTAGTCAGAATCATACCGTGCCGTGCTGTGCCGTGCCATAGCATACCTTACCTACTGTACCCTACCTACCATACCATACCGTACCATACCGTACTGTACCGTCATCGTGATTTGAAAGTGAAGTGAAGTGATGTGATGTGAAAGTGATATCCCGTGTGCATCAACCAGTAAGGTCCCGTCCATCTGTCTACGTACGTACGAACGTTCAAACCCAGCACAGCGCGCGCGCGCGCAGCCCCCTGCCCACTACCACTACCACCAGCACCACCACCAGCCAGCCAGCAGTCAAAGAGGAGAAAAGACGAAGAAGGAGAAGAAGCATCATCGGCGATGACAACAGCCACGGCGGCGACGTGGCAGCAGCAGCAGCAGCAAAGAAAAAAACAGCACCACTCACCACCACCGTCGCTCATTGCCTGTACTGCCCGCCCGCAAGCACGAAAACCCGCAGAGAGCTATCCACCAGGAAAAGAAACGGGAAGCAGGAAACGAGCAAGATGAAAAAAGAAAGGAAGGAAAAGAAAAAGCTGGCTAACTAACAACCGCAAAGAGATGGAAAAATAAAGCAGCAAGCAAGCAAATGCAGGGCACGCCACGCCAAACTCCCCCCGCCGTTACCACCACTAACTTACTACCACCAGGCATAGCAGTAGCCGCTGACGCGAACGGATAGATGGATTGATGGCCTTCCTCACCGACCTGGAGTAGTGAGAACTGGAGGTGAGCAAGGACGAAGAGGGAGGGAGTGAAGAAGGGACATGTGCATGCAAGCAACCCAGTCCGCGCGTCGTACGTCATAACTAGGTAGTTAGGTAAGTAGTAGGTAGAGTAGAGGTGGGCGGTATCCAGCACGCGAGCCGAGACCCCTCCTCCAACAAAGAGGCGGGGAGAGCGTCCTGTACAGGGAGGGCAAAAGGGGCCTTGACGCGTAATTAACATAGCGCGCGTATCGGAAGCAGCGAGCAGCCGGCAACCAAGCAGCGCTTGCCACAGCTCTGAACGTTTGCGTGTGTGGAGAGACGAGCAAAGGGGGTGTGTTGTGTTGTGTTAATTAACGAGCATACATGTTTTCTTGGCGCTTGCCGACCAAGGCTTTTGTGCTTTTTTCTATGCCAAGTATCCTAGTTCGTTCTCGTCGCCCTCGAGCCGCTCGAGGTACTCCTTCTCCAGGAGTATGTCGATGCACTTTTTGATATCGCCTACCTTGGGCGTAAAGCGCGACCGGATCTGGTTGATCGTCTCGCCGACGAGCTGCTGGTGCTTCATCTTCTTGCGCGACTTCATGATACGCACAATCGCCGACTGTAATGACGCGCGTTAGCGTAGATTCTTTTTTTAGCGTCCACTGGTTCAAAGCATATACTCACCTGCATCAGCAGTTTCCTGTCCTCCTCGATGGTCTTGTGCGTGTCCTCGACCTCGGCCTTCTGCTCGCTCTTGATACCAATGTTGAGGTTCATCTTCATCTTCTTGCTCTTGAGGCCATAGTTGAGCTTGTACGTTGTACCAGGCTCCGGCTTAGCACCCTCGGGCTCGGCGGTCAGAACTTTGGCCTTGATGAAAACGGCGATACTAGGGTCAAGCGTCTCCTTGGAGAGCTTGGTCGCCTCAACCATCTCCGGGTAAGTGACGGTATCGCTGTCGTTGAACAGCAGGAGAAGAGCCATCTGGTAGGTCGAGACTTGGAAGGTTGGTGACGCTTTGCCGCCTGCGACCTTGAGGTAGTTGGCCCGAAGCTCACCCTTACACAGTTGCCATAACCACGTCAGCTTGCGGCCGGAGTGCTTGCTACCATAGAAAGCGCCGAAACGCTCGTAGGTCTTGACGATGGCCTGAGGCGGCACGAATGGAGTCGTCGGAGGGTTGAGTGGCCAGAAACCAGTTCCGAGGATGTGGTATGTCGCATCGACGGCCGTCTTCTTGTCCTCGTCGTCGAGCGTTTCTGATTGCCAGTCCTTGAAAGCGGCGTTGAGATCCTTGGAAGTCTGCATGTCCTGGAACATGCGCTGGAGCTTGTTGGTGTACTCGAAACCGCAAGCATCCTTGAGCTTCGCAATCATCGAGGTTTCCGCATCGTCGGAAGCAGAAGTGGTGTTGACCAGACGCTTCGCCAGCATGCGCGAGTAGAACTTCTGGAAGACATCCTTATCCTCAATATACTTGAAGACGGTCATGATCTGGTCTAACTGCTTCTCAACATCATCCTCTTCAGAGCCCTTGGCACTCGACTTCTTCAGCAAGCTGTCGGTGTACTTGGCAAGAAGTTCTGGCGACTTGGTGGAGCCAGATTTGCAGACCTTGTTACGATTGACGAACTCGCGGCATGCATTGTCCAGTGACCGCACAAACTCCGACTCGCCGTTGAAGGCTTTGTTCACCAGATCCTGGTACTGAGAGTGCACCTCCAGCAGGGAATCGACATAAACCTTAGGCTCAAGGTTCTCGCCGTCAGTCGCGACCTTCTCAACCGCAGATAGACCTGCTTTCCGGACGTGGTTCTCGAAACGGGTACGCAGAGGATCCAGGCCGTTGGGGATGCGGGCAAGCAACTTGTACATGCGCGCAAGATCCTCGATTCGGTCTTGGTCCAGAAGAAGCTGGAATTCCTCGCGCAAAGCTTGCGAGTGGTCCGCAATCAACACCGTCTCGCACGTCCGCATCAGAGGAACCATGATTTCGTCAAGCAAGTAGAGCGGGACACGCTCCTTTTCCTCGTCAAGACGCGTCTCCGCCTTTTTCATGTACTCAACCACACTGTTGTCGGCAAGGAAGCGGCGAGACTCATCGCGGTAGTATTCCGCCGTGGCGAGCAAGAAAGGCTTCTCAAAGTACTCCTTGTACACATCAAGCGTCATCTTCGTGGGATCAGACTCATCCAAGCCGAGGGAAACAAATGAGTCGACTACGCTTTTGATCTGCGACTGTTCGATGGTCTCGCCGTTCCGTTGTTTCTCCACCAAGCGCAGGACAGACTTCATGACGTTCTCCTGAGTAGCCATGAACATGTCTTCCTTCCACCGCACCAAGTGCAAGGTGTAAATGTCGTAAATGTTCTTCTTGCCCTCGTCCATCTCGCGCTTGACCCAATGGCGGTTGAGGTAGCGAAATAAGTGGTTGTTGTACTGGCCGGCGGTCGTGTAGCGGTTCCATTCCTTGATGTAGAAGCTAAGAAGGGCCTCATCGGAGTGCTCAGTCGAGTGCTTGTGAACATCGTGCAGGTGCTTCGTCAGGTACTCGATGAGGTGGTTATATAAGTCCTCACCAAGCAGATGGGCTACATTAATACGAGCGGTGTTAGCAGATCTCGACGGGCCTTGAGGACGCAGTATGAACTGACCACCTCCACGGCTATTCATCGTGCTGTTTGATTGCGCTCCGAACCCTCCAGTCCCGACAGTCTTTTGCGCCGTGCAAAAGTTGTGGATGGCTGTGTAGAGACCCATATACGTCTTCATGTCGATTCCCTCGCGCAGGTCGGTCATGATCCTCTCGACACCGGCTTCGAGGTAGTTCCAGCTTGATGCCCTAGTATTAATCAACTAATTCCAAACGGCTCGGAAAGGGCTCGACTCACGTCCCGTTCGGGTCTTCCTTGTTAGGCATCGGGGGCATAACCGGCGGTGCCATGTTGAGATAGGTGACGTGCTTGCGAGCACGAGGGCAGCTCTAGAGCGGTAGCTGCGGAGGGCGAGGTAGAAGATTTGGAAGGGCGTCGGAGGGGGCAAAGGTGTCGCCTTGGAGCAGAGGCTCGAGCGAGTGACACTCGAAGTTCTGAGGAAGCGGCGCGTGTCCCACAGTGAGGGCGCGCTCGACGATGGGGCGAAGATGGCGCGCAGGAGAGAGGAGAGTGGGATCGCGCTCCGTCGGGAAGCTAAAAGACACAGGAGGCGCGGGTGGCCTTTTCGGGTGGAAGGCAGGTGAAAAGGATGGAGGGGAGGTTAGTGAAAGGCAAGTTGCCTAAAGGTCGAGCAGCACCAGGCGTCAGTGGAACAGCTGGACGGGGTTGCCTGCCGCGGCAAATCCCGGGGACCGCTGGCTCAGCCCTACGCCCGCCCACCACTGTGCCGCCCCCCTTCACAACCAAAGTATGTACGGCTTCACATTCATGTTGTAACTTGTGCATCTAAACATCCAGCGCTGGTCCCTGGTCGCCGTACACCGGATCCCGCTCGAACCATCCCAAGCCCCCAATCCCCTTGACCTTGTCCTCCTCGCCCTCGTTGCCATAGCACATGTCCCAGTTGCAGCCCTTCGGATAGCTCCCCACCATTTCGAAGCCGCCCTCGCGGTCCTCCAGCAGCCGGTGGCCCACGCCCGCCGGCACCACGACCACATCCCCCTTCTGCACCACGGGCTCGACGCGCCCCTCGTTGTGCTCGCCCCCGAAGCACAGCAGTGCCTTGCCGGAGCTGATGCACAGCACCTCGTGCGTCGTGCTGTGGAAGTGCGTCGTTGTGTACATGCTGTAGCGCCATTGCGGCGTCACCACGCCCGTCGACGCCAGGTGCGCCTCGATCGCCGACGCCGACGTGTTCGTCGAGAATGCCGTGTGGTAGATCAGCAACGGCTTTTGCTGGATGCTGGTGTTGGGCAGGAGCGCGTATGACGGGATTTGATGCCTGCTAACGCGCAGCTTGGAGAGCGGTGTCAGATGGACTTTGGGTGTCATTTTGCTTGAGTTTTAGCCTGGGTCCACGGGATGTGATCTTTCTTTTGACCATCGAGCAATGCTGCCTTGGTATCCGGCCGTGGTGTGATCTTGATTATTGAAGCTGTCCCCACGAAGCTCTTGCTTCACATACGTCATTGTTAGTTATGTCAAGCAGGGATCACCAGCGTATTCTGACGTCCGGATGGTTGGCTCCCTGGAAGTTCGCCCATGGGCATCATCGTCAATTCTCAAAGTCAATTAGACCTATGGAACTTGGGCCTCACGTATCACCACGTACACATGCAAAACAGAACGAAACTGCCATTGCACAATCGTCCCCGAACCTCAATCTGCTGCTGCCCCGCCAGCCGCTCAAAGCCGCGACCCGGAAGCGGGGTACCAGGCCTACCTAACCTCAACGCCATCAAACCGCCCAGTAGTCCGCCGACAGCCTGAAAACCGCTGGCCTAATGCGCCGAATACCATGACCAGAAACCGCACCGAATCACAGAATACCAACTACCGAAACGTGCCGGATCTTTCATCAACACCTCGCCGTACATGTACCAAACGAGTTAACCAAGCTATCACGCGCTGGTCGTATGCTGCTTCTTGAGGACCGCCTCATAAATGCTGGTGATGATGCCGATGCCGGCGCCAATCATCGCACTCTGGTATCCGCCGGGCAGAGCTCCGTCAACCTTCAGCACGGTGTCGTCGCCGACCATGCCCGAGAACCTGACGCCTTGCGCATAAACCATGTAGGTGACGAGAGCTTTCATAATGTTGAAAGTCAGCGGGTCGGCGCGGTACGTGGTAGTGGATGTCGTGACGCCGTTGTTTATCTTGGTCCGGAGCGTCAAGTTGAAAAAGTACGCAAACAGAAGCGGAACGAAGAGGCTCGTGCTAGCCCAAAGGAGCGAGGGCGCCCAGAACGAGCTCGTCAAGAGCACGAAGAGCTGCGGCAAATACACCGGGTGCGAGTTTGTCCCCAGCGCCTCCACGGCGGGGATGTCGAAAAAGTAAGTCCACGGCATTACTTGCCTCTGCAGGTAGTATGCCTCAACCAGGATGGCCGCAGCCTCCACGCCGACGACAGAGCTCAGCACCTCGCGCACGTACTCGGCGTAGTCAGTGATGCCGGTGCCCTCCCACGCCTCGCCCACCTTGCCCCGCACGATCGCAGTCTGACGCTCGATCGCATCGGTGACGACAGCGGGCGACGGCGGCAGCGGGACCTGAGTCGCGACGCGCTCGACTGCGCGCGGGGTACGCGTTGCCAGAGCCATCGACGGCGACTCAAGAGGGCTGCTGCTATCCTTGTCCTTCAAGTCGACGGTCTCATCTCTGTCCGCGTCCAACGTCAGCTTAGTGCCTTTTGACGCGCTAGCTCGACGCGTCGGCCCACACGCGTAACTCACTGCGATTCAACCTCCTCCTTGACCCTGGTTGTGCGCCTGCGCGGGCGGGTCGACCTGGGAGCTTCGTTCGCATCGGCCGGAGGGACGGTGCGCGACCTCTTCACGGGAGTTCCGTTGTTGCGGTCGTAGTATTCCGCGAAGTGGGGGTGCGAGGACAGGGTGGGCTCCTGGGTCTTCAGATGTTCATCGAGCTTGGAAACAAGCTCATCTTTGAGCATGTGCTCCCATCTGTGAACAACATCCCGTTAGCAGCCTGATCAAAGCGCGTTGTGCCTCTCGTCGCGTGGCTACCGTACCCACTAAGGCCCGAATCGATAGCAAGTGAGGCAAGCTCCGTCTTGCGCTGCTTTTGTAGCCAGGATGCCATTGTAGTAATTTATATGACGTTAATCGCGTAGTTCTGGCGATGCAATAGAATGGCGGCAGAGCAAAATGCAATGTTGTGGGAGTAAATAGACAGGGTGGGTCCAGCTTGTTGTCCAGAGAGGTGGAGCGCGATGCGGGTAGGCTTGAGGTGTTCCGATGTAAACATGGCCCTGTTACGTAACCCCGCACTTGGCCGCATCCGGCAATTGATTGGCCGCAGCCACCTACGTTATTCTCACAGAACGCTCGCTCATATCGATTGTGCTGGCTCTGGGGTTCATTCATTGGAGTTGTAAAATTCCATGCGTATCATAGGTCCTTGACGTGAATCCGTCGCGGTCAGTCTGGCTTGACCCCACTCCTTCAACCCACGCTAGCCATTGTACTGAGGGGTATATCATGCAACTTCATAAGACCTGGCGCGGACAGTGGCGTTTAAATCTATAGTAGCGGTTTTATACATGTCAACAGAACATCTCTGTTGATATCAGACAGCCTAATTGCGCTCTCGGCCGTTAGAAAGACTCCTCGCAGCCTTGTCGGCAATCCAAACGTCCTCCAAACTAAAGTTTCGTTAGTTTAAATTCGTAGCACCATATGATAGGACTGGAAGGCTTACGGAAGGATTAAGCTCGGGTTGATGAACCTCGTTCCCCTCTCGCGCGCCTCATCCACAGTCGTCTCCGGCACCTCCGGGCCTTCACCGGTGTGTCCCGGCATGCCCGACTCGGAGTGTTCCGCTCTTCTCAAGCTCTTCAAGGCGATGAACTTCATGAGCGGTCTGTAGGTCTTCGAGTACACCTGCAAGAACCAGAGAGTCCCTAAGATAAGCGGCACCAAGAGTGCAGATCTCCAGAATGCTCTCTTCAAGGCCAGCTGGCCCGCCATAGTGAGCTGGAACAAGATCAGACCGAGAATGACGCGGTCGCAAATCATGGTCCAGCCACGGCCAGTTGAGTGCTGGCGGTGGTCCATGGCATAGAGCAATTGGTACTTGTGGACAAAGTGACCCATCATGAAATAGGCAAGGCCGGCAAGAAGCACCATCCAAGACGAGCGAAGAACACTGTACACTGTACAAATGATGAAGATCAAAATCGTCTGCGGCAGATAGAAGCCGTAACTGAAGACCGGTGGCTGAACCAACTCCGCGTAATCTGTTTCGTATCAGCATACTGCGTCAGTTGTCTTGTCGAGTTATCAACTTACCTCGCGGGGTTTTTGCGCCCATAAGATGAATGGGATACAAAGCAACACTGCCGAACTCCAAAAGTCTAAGCGGGAATAGGCCGAGACCCTGAAGGATGACGAAGTTGGCATAGAAGTTCAGCAGGCCTTGCAGCGATACAGCAAGAGCGTTGGTGATCTTCGTGGCGTCCCTGAGTTGCTCTCCAATGTGCTCGAGCAGCTCTATGAAACCCGAAGCCGTACCCAAAATGGTGAAAACGACGAAGAAGTTGAAGAAGACGAAGAAGAAGTTCTTCGAGATCCTGTACTGTCGTTAATGGAAACTGTGCAACGAAATACTTAAATAACTTACACAGAAAGTTCAACGTCTCCCTGACCCATCATGCCTTGAAGGTTGGAAAGGTCTGGTATTGAAGTCAGTAACCGACTACTGAGGACAAAAAAATCTCACTCACAATCATATATGTACGGAACAGTGACGTTGAGCAAAGACACGAACAGCGTAGGCAATTGCGTGGTCACAATCGAACGGATGTTCTTGTGGTACTCCAGCATTTCTGAAAGCCTCGGCCACACCTTGCCTATCGACTCAAGGCTCAGCGCACCGGCGATGGGAACGAGCATAAGGGTCCAGAACACAGTCAGGACGGTGATCATGGCCGTAATCGACCATGCCCTTATCATCCTTTCCCTTCGTGGCATATAGGTGTTAGGCCAGACCACGTCAGTAGGGGAAGGGCTGGTTTTTGCCAGGAGTTGGAGAGGAGACGGATCCAGCACCGCTTGTACAGCCATTTGCTATTTGTCAACAGTATCAGCATTAGCCAATTTAATGAATGGGCACTCCTACTTACACAACTGGCCACGGTATCCATGGTGACAAATGCAAGCGGGGTAGGCTCGAACTCCTTCTTCCGCAGAGCCTTGATCTGCTCATCCATACGACGCAGCTTCTCCTCATAGTAGTCGATTGCGTCCACATTCTTGTACCGCAGCTTGAACCTCCCGTACCAGATCTTGGTAATTGGTCGGTTGCGAGCGTACGGCATGACATGGCCGTTCTCACCCGACTCGAGCAGACGACTGTGTTCGCCACCATCGATGGCCGGCCCCGGCGGCGAGGGTTGTGAGATAGGCAAGCTCTCCATGTTGCGCTCGACACGGCGCGCGCCGAGGTGGACTGTCCAAGCCTCTTCCAACTTGCGCAACATGGCCATTCTCTTAACCATCAGGTCATCCAGCTCCTTCCAGTTCCGGCACAGAGTGACCCGTTCAACCTTGCCAATCTCAAGCGCCTCGACAAAATCTTTAATTTTGCTTTCAGTCCGAAGCTCCGGGGGTATTCCTGACAAGCGGATTGTGCGGTCGGTGATAGTGGTCTGGCTACCCAGGTATTCTTGGCGAACCTCAATGATCTTCCTCGTCTCGGAGACGATCAGGTACATTGCCAGGCCAGTGAACAGGTAGGCAAACACCAGATACATCCACAGATAATCCGTCTGGTAGATCTCCGGGAAGTAGTGGGAGGACCAAGGGTCATGGGAAACCTCGGTGCTATTCCAGCTCTCACTGCGCTCGCTAAGCAAGAATCTACGCCGCAGCTCCGTTGGGGAATCATCACTGATGGTGTTGTTTGGCTTCAAGGTGCTCTTGCTGGTATCTGGGAAGCGGTCGTGGACGGGCTTGATGACGACGAGAGAGAAGAAGAGGGTGATTGAGAGGAATTTAATGGCCATTTTGAAGAAGGCGAGGAACTATAGGTATATAAGTCAACGCGGGCTCTCACAGCATTGGAAGCGGGGACTCTTACGACGTAGGCATCGAGACCAGCTGATGCCAGCACCTGTTCCTCGGTGATTCTAAACAGCACGGGTATCCATCCAAAGAGCGAGCGGGGCAGCTCAGGCAGAGCCGTGGCCTCGCCCTTCTGCTTCTTGCGCGCAGCGTACAGACCCTCCCATCGTGGGCGCAGTATCTAGAGACAGAGCGTCAGCACACGCACGGACAAAGAAAGCGGCACGGTATCACGGCGGGGACTGACACAAAAGGCGAGGAAAGCAGAGGTGCCCAGGGCAATAGAGATGATGATTTGGATAGTCGTGTCGCGCGGTCTGCGCGTGCCAAACAGGTCGAGACCCGAGGTGTTATTCGAGGGAGAATGAAGTTCGCCGTCCATTGTTGAGGAGCAGGCGCAACGCGCAGCTGCGGAGAACTGAGCGGGGAATTATTTGCTGGCGGCGTCGTCGCAGCATTGGTGTCATTTGTGAGAGCCTCGGATGATGTCGTGGGCCCGTTCACCGCGAATCTTGACTCACATTACACGTCAAATTATTATCTTATCGTCCTATATGCACGAAACATGCCCTCTTTAGGCCTTGAGCGCCCGACAATACGCCAACACTGCCAGATAATCCTCTGACTTGGTCACCCTCACCACGTCCTGCAATTCCCCCGTGCCCAGGTTCATTCGCTGCGAAACCCGCCCCTGTATCGCCCCGGACGCGATCAGCTCTGCCAGCGCCGCCGCGACATCCTTCGGCAGCTTGGGCATGCGCGAGGCCTCGACATCGATAGGCAGCTGTTGCTGCGCAAAGGGCCCGAAAGAAGGACCGATGGCCGATTGTGGACGTGGTCGTGGTGCCTTTGTCACCGCACCCGGCGTGTTCGGAAAGGAAAAGACTGGCCACTTCAGCTCGGCACTCCGGGACTGCTGCATCCGCGTCGTCGCTGGTGCCAGTTCTTTGTAAAAGTCCTTGATCTGCACAGTCGGCGCGAACTGCATCTTCTTGCCCGCTTTCTTCTTCCCGTATTTCTGCAAAACACTCTCCCCATCCTTTCTCACCTTTGCCTTTGCTCTTTGTAGGGCTTTTGCCCTTGTTTTTTGTAAGGCTTTCGCTGCTGGTTTGCCCCGAGCTTGTGTCCTGGGCCTGCCCTCATGGTCGGAATATGTCTTTTTCCTGAATCGTCTGGGGTCCCCCAAATAACTGTCCACTGTCTTCCACCGCTCCAGTCGTCGACGTGCCCAAAACCAGTTTGCAGCTTTTGGGGATCTCTCACCCACGTCCGTCACACCCGTGCCAAATCTTGATCCACCAGTAGGACCACTAGGACCACTAGGACCACTAGGACCATTAGGTCCATTAGAACCATTAGAACCATTAGGTCCATTAGAACCGTTAGAACCATTAGGTCCATTAGGTCCACTAGGACCACTAGGACCGTTAGGACCGTTAGGACCATTAGGACCATCAGGACCATCGGGACCATTGGGACCATTGGGACCCATAGGAGTAGGAGATTTAATAGGAGTAGGAGATTTAATAGGAGTAATATAACGAGAAGGGTCGCTGGGATCACCAGGGCCACCAGGACCACTAGGACCACGAGGGCCTCCGGGACCAGCAGAGCCATTGGGACCAGCGAGGCCCCTGGGAGCAGCAAGCGCCAACGCATTTCCGCCACGATACGCACCACGGACGGGCGAGTCGAGGGTCAGATCGAGGTCGCCGTCCCAGTCGTAGAGGTTCTTCTTCGGGCGATATCTATCCACGTCGACCCAGTCGACCCATTCGTAGGGGTTCTTCTTCGGGGGGTTTTCCTTCGGGGGGTTCTTCTTCGGGTGATGTTTTTTCGTCATGTCAGTTCAGATATCAGTGCTATAGGCAATCAGGTACGCGTAATAATAAAGATCGTAATCGTTCGTTCGTTTGGTCAAGACCGGCTTGACTGTGTCGTGGACGTCGTCGTGATAGAAATGGCAAAATCGTAGAGGCGGCATTTGGGGCTGGGGATTTGAACATGATAAAGGTAGGAGACAAAGGATTGGTCGGCGTTGTATTGGTTCCGAGAATTAAATATAGGATAAAGAAATGTTGTTCAATGTCTTTGTTATGTCGTGTGCTATATTTGGAGACCCTTCCCGCAGAGTGATTACAGTCGGCGGTAGGCATTGTTATGGTTTATATGCAAGCATGCCTCTGAGCTGACAATCTGCAGATAAGTAATATATAGAAATTATTCTAATTTACTTGTGGGGTATAATAGATACAACAATAGCTTTTGTCAAACCCAGTTCGTCGTAAGGATATGAGAAACAACATCCACCATTGTAGTGTCGATCTGAAGTATTCCCATGTCCGACAGTAACCCCAACAGACTGACGAACAGCCTCTTACATGTACACTATACACCCACTAAATTTACGGTATTTCTCCCGCATCTAATCCTCTAATCCTTCCTCTTCCCCCTCCCAAAAACAAACCTCTCCCAATTCGCCCTCAGCCGCTTCACACCCTCCTCAAGCCCCCACCCCCTCAGCTCACAAACCAGCCGCACCACCTCCTCCAGCCCCTCATCCATGTCCTTCCCCGCGCTATGCAAATCGCTCTCAACCAACAGCCTATCCTCGGGCACCGCCACCACGGCATCCCTCGCCGCCGCGGCGCCCCTCTCCGAGAAATTTATGGCCGCGGAAAACGACACAAACACGTCGACCGGCACGCTGGGATCGAAATACTGCTTCAGCTGGCTCGCGTGCCCGGAGTAGGAATGCAGGCATAGCCGCGGGGGAAAGGGCTTGGGCTTGCCGTCCGCCTCCTCATATTCCTCGGCTTCTTCTTCCGCCTCCTCTTCGGCCGTGACGCCGCGTCGTTTCCTCTCGCGCCGACTCATCCTCACCCGCTCAAACCCCCGCCACGTCTCGCGTATCGTCTCAAACAGGACCCCATGCGCCTGGACGCCATGCACAGACACGGCGCGGCCCAGCTCGCCGGCCAGGTTCAACTGCGCCGTCAGCACCTTGCGCTGATGCGCCATGGCGACGCCATGGGGCGAGAGGAGCCGGCCCTCGCGCCCACCAGGCGTCAGGCCCTCGTCCCGCGCCGCGTGCTCGTCCGCGCCCCACGCCACAGGCACTCGAAAGCTCTTGTCGAGGCCGACCTCGCCCACCAGCGCCAGCGGATACGCCAGCAGCGCGTCTCTCAGCTCGGCCAAAAACGCGCCTAGCGGGCGCGGCGCAGGCAGCTTGCGCAGAAACTCGGCTTCCTGCTCGCGCTTCACGCCCGGCGCAAACACGCCCTCGTAGTGTTGTGCCCGCTGCTCCTCGGCCAGCTCCCCATGCCCCCCGTACAGGGCCTCGTCGTACAGCTGGTGCGCGAACCATGGGTGCCACCCGAAGCATGGGACTACGCGCTCGTTGGCGCCCCATGCGTCGATGTCGCGCGATTGCACGCCGAGGCTGTCGGCAACTTGGCGCACGAGGGTCTGGTCTTGGGCGCGGGTGGCCATGATTGTGAGGGCGCGCGCGCGCATGGAGGTGATGTCTGGGACGGCGGCCATGGTGTCTGTGGGGTGGCAGTGGGCGTCGAAGACGCCGAGGGCCCAAGGGAAGGGCTGGTCGTCTGCGTCGGGCATGGCTGTTTGATTGTCTGGATGGACGGCCTGAAGGTTCACGTCACGTCGTGCCTAGGTCGGCTCGCGACGATCACATGCGGCACGCTTTCACCTGCGCTTACCACCTAAACCCAGCCAACGGCTCGGCTTCCCCTCACTACTAGGTACTATCTCCAGGCTTACCTACTCGTAGCAGCGACCATGTCACGTAGTCGCGCCGCAGTCACTTGCCCATCAACACCACGACAATGCTGCTAAACCCGCTCCACCTCCTCGCCCCTCCCGCCCTCATCGCCCTCTCTATCCCGCTCGTCCTCCTCGCAACTCTCACAACCACCCTCGCCCTCCTCACCCTCCTCGTGCGCGTCTCGCTCGTCTACCTCGAGCTCGGCCTCGCCCTCATCCACAGCTGGCTATCCAAGTCGGCCACACCAACAAAGACAGCAGCAGCCGCCTCGGCGCGCCGCGGAACTGGAAGCAGCCCGCAGCGCCATCACCGCCAGCACCACCAGCACCACCCCCCCGTCAAAGCCGACAGCTTCGTCTCGCTCGCCCACGCCACCAGCGCCGCCGCCGCCCGCGACCGCGACTTCGAGGGCCTGGGCGGCTGGCGCGACACCAGCCTCGACAGCCACGACGAGGCCTCCTGGGTTAGCATGAACGCGCGCCTCGAGCTGCCCATCGCCTCGGGCCTGCCGACGACGACGGTGCAGCCACAACCGCAGTCGCAGCGAAGACACCATCGGCGCTCGCTCACGGGCCCGCGGTCCGGCAGCCAGCAGCGCTGGAGTGGCCCGCTGGTTGCGGCGACGTGGAGCGCGAGCCCCGAGGCGATGCGCATGAGCGCCGCGCGCGCGCCTACTGCTGCTGGTGTTGCTGGGGATGGCGCTGCGAGGTCCGGCAGCCCGGACGAGTATTTCACCATGCAGACGTATCGGCGCGTGGGCGGGGGGTTGGAGGCGCTGGGCGCAGGCGGGGCGCAGTCGTCGCGGCGGAGGAGCGAGGGCGGCTCGGTTTGTAGCAGTAGCAGCAGCAGTAGCAGCTCCGGCTCGAGCACGGCATCGTCGGGGCGGACGGGGCTGATGGCCGTGAGGAGCGGCACGTAGCGGTACTGCTGCGCGGGGCTGGCCGACTGTGACCACCTACCTATATTTTCTTGCGGCTTGCTTGTCTTGCGTGGGTTGGTATCGTAGACTGCAAAGCGAGGTTATACTGTGAAAGCCATTCTGCGTGAAATGACCTTGGAACCAACTAACTACCTGAAAGAGCTATGGCTCCCATGGTACTTTATATAAACTAGACGTCACGTGCTTGCATCTCTACCTAACACTCGAAGCATTTATCGCCGTTAAAGCCGAGCAGCAGCGCTTGACCGCCAGAGGCACCAGGCCAATCATCAATCATCAATCAACCAGCCAACAACTAGGTACAGACCCTACCCTCCTCCTCCCGCAATCCCGCAATCCCGCACCCCTCCACCCTCCTCCACCCACCCGCCCGCGCACGCACCATGCACCTCACCGAAGACGAGCTCTACCGGTCGTCGACGCAGTTCCGGCACTGGTCCTTCACGCCCGCAACCCTCGCCGCGATCCGGCATGCGACCAACGCCGCGGCGGCCGAGCGCGTGCGCCCGCACCTGCCCCAAGACGCCGCCCTCCTCACCCCCGAAGACGAGCTGCGCCTCGTCACCATCTTCTGCAGCCGCTGCGTCGCGCTTGGCCAGTTTCTTAATGAGCAGCCGGGCCATGGCTTTCCGTTCAAGGTCGTCGTAAGTTGACAATGTTATTATTATTGCCCTTGTCTTTTTTGGTTGCTACTACCACTACTACTACTGTCCAATTCTAATACCCCGCGTTCAACAGGCCACGGCCGTCCAGTACGTCAGGCGCTTCTACCTCTTCAACTCGCTCATGATCTACGACCCCAAGAAAATCATGCCGTCGTGCCTCTTTCTCGCCACAAAGACCGAGGGCTGGCACACAAAGGCCTCGGACTTTGCCCAGAAGCTGCCCCGCACCACCGCCGACGACATCCTCGCCCCCGAATACCTCATCTCGCAGGCCCTGCGCTTCACCTTCGACGTGCGCCACCCCCACCGCGGCCTCGACGGCGGCCACATGGAGCTCATGGCCATGGCCAAGGGCGCCGCACCCCTGCTGCCCGGCGCGAGCGCGACACCACAACAGGTGCAGGACGCGATGCTGCAGCTGCCGGGCCCGGACGGCTCCGCGCCGCCGGCCGAGCCGAGCGTGACGGCGCTGCTGAACCGCGAGGGCCGCTCCTGGGACGCCGCGCGCCGCACGCTCAAGTCCGTCGCCCTCACCACCGACGCCTACTTCTTCTACACGCCGGCGCAAATCTGGCTCGCGGCGCTGGTCATGGCTGACGAGCCGCTCGCCCGCTTCTACCTCGACGTCAAGCTCCCGAACGACCTCCTCCAAGCCGCCGAACACAAGGACAAGCTTCTGGCGACGGTACACGCATGCGCGACCATGTTGCACGAGGGCGCCGCCCAGGAGCCCGACGACGAGGTCAGGCGCCTGGCCAAGAAGCGCGATGCCTGCGCCGACCCCGAGAAGGCGGATCTGGTGAGCTTACATGCGGCATCGAAACGCGGGGGTGCGGTTGACGGCGTTGTGGATGATGGGGTTGCCAAGCGGCGGAAGTTGGAGCGGCAGCAGAGCCAGAGGGAGGCGGATGCGTTTTGGGGGCCCGAGATCGGGAAGCCCGAGTCGGCGGCATAGCGGTGTGGGTGCTTGTTGGCGCATGGACACGGCGTAAGTAGGACGGAGGAGGACCGCGCGCGCATCTAGCAGTATCTCGAGCCCGAATCCGGGCACTGCTTCTTCGGGATGGACGACAGCTTTGACGACTGGAAAAAGCGCTACTGCTACACAGGGGTTATGGCGTTTACAACATGCTCGTTTGGTTTTGGTTTTGGTGGCTGAGTGGGCTTTAGGAGTTCGCTTGCAAGGTTCCTAGACCTTTCATCAATTGCGAGGGCGGGCAGACTTGCGGACTGGAAGACGGCTATTGCTGTCAATTCGGAACATAACAATAGGACTGGACTCGCGGCTTCGGTCAAAGAGTGTTGCTCGAAGCGTGCGTTCGAGGCCACAGACAAAGAGGAGTTCGATCGAATGCGATCATGGCCGCCATTGCGACAAAGCTCTTTGTCTATGCTGCCCGGCGTCGATGCTATATATATGTGATGTGTAAAGCCATGATGCCGCACACACAGAGCAACACGCCGATTCGCGTGATGCTCTCAGATCGGAAAGACGACCAGCTTCGGGAACGGCAATGGCAGCGCAATTACCGCTATGGCTAGACCACATTAGCTTCGACGAGCTGCGCGCCGGGGGATACATAGACCTGGACCAGCCCTTCCGCGATGAACTCTCCGCCAGCGAGATCCATCCACTATTCGGGCCAAGCCAATGGATTAATATCGATCAGCAATCGCTTGACCTGCTGGAGCCGACGTTCAAGCTGGCGTCGAAGTTGCTGGCGCACCCGCGCATCCTGCTCTTCTGGCACGCGCTTATGAACAACCGTCGCTTTATCCGGAGTCGGCGTCTGGCTGGCATGTTCGGCAGGAAGTGCGAGCGCTTCGACCCCAAGCCCGAGCCGCTCAGTGCCCAGGAGTCCAACAAGGTCCTGGAAGCGTTGGAAGGCCTGTGCCATGGCCATCGCTTTATGTTCGTTGCGGAGGCGGAGTTACCGGGTGCGGATGCGACCACGGACCGCTCTGGACTTTTTACACTTCCTGGCGTCCCTGTTATACAGCCACAGGGAGGGTACCAAGTGAGACACGCGTCAACATCTCGGATCAGCGCGCGCTACCTTGAGACCCTTCAGCGCTACGACCATGCCAGCAGTTACGCTTCCCCAAGGCCAGGAACGGTGCCCAGCCCGGACGACCTGCCCACTACGGCGTCGATTCTGCGGACCTGTTTCCACCTCGCCAAGACGTTGGTTCACGAGTTGTGCCACGCGATCAATTGGGCGTTTACGCACTATGATGAGCGGTCCAGGGTGCCCGAGATTCGAATCAAGATTGAGCCGTTCTTCATGGACCAGATACGCTGCGAGGTGGGACGGGCGTGGGAGTCTTTCGTCTTCGGGGGGCAGGTTGACGGAATCGGAGATGGGCTGGGCATGCAGTACGGCATCAGCGTGAGCAAGTGGCCGCATCCATTTTGCGACGAGGGCCAAGCGCGGGCGCCGATCCGAAGCCCATTCCGGACAAGCTACGCCATTCCCATGGCGTGGGTGCAGCGGCTATGGACAGCAGGCTTCTGGCAGGACGTCGAAAGGTACGGGTTGCAGGAGCTGCGGCCGGCGAAGCTTCTGGGGCTGCGGCGAACAGTAACGGCGGGGCCCGTGGCGGTGCTGCTGAGCGACGAGGCTGAGCAGTGGCTGGAGTGCTTCAGTGACGACGAAGCCAACTCTGAGCTCAGCAACGCGGCGCGGGCGGCATTGGTGCAGCGGTGCATGCAGGCCCAGGTCAACGAGCTGGTTGGCGCGGGCGATGCGGACAGCTCAGACAGCAGCGTGCTGCGGTATGCGGACGCGCAGGGCGTGGTGCGCGACTGACTGTGAATGATCACGGCTCACGGCAGACGCGGATCAAAGCGTGACGATCATGACGCGGATCTCGTTACATCGGGTGCGGAGAACCTTGAAAGAGCGCGGCCACGTGACGCAGGTCGGATGGGCTGACACGAGGGTGCAATTTGGGGGCTTCGGAGAGTGATGGAGAAAGTCGGGAGCGGTGCCAACTGGCGGGCAGACATGACGTCCCAAGAATAGGCAGTCACCCTAGACCCCGGGCTGTTGTGGCGGCAGGAGCCCACGGTGCCCCTTGCGACTGCCAATTCAATTCCTGAATCCTGGGGCGGCCTGGCGGGTTCAGCAGCGTCATCCAAGGCAGCCGCGGTCCGAGCGTCTTGCCTGCTTTGTTCGGTAGGTCCAGTCCAACAGTCGCTGCTGCCACTGCCCGCCCATTACGTAGCGTCCTCGCCAATGCCGTATAAGTTGCCCAGCTCCTCGCTCCCGCCAAACCCATCCTCTCTCCATCTTCCACGTCACTCTACTTGGACAAGCCTTCTTTGATTCCACGTCCGAACATACCTCAAAAAGAGTACGTCTTCTTCTTCTTCCTCTACGTCCACCAAGCTAACCTTCCTCTCTCTCTTCAGCCTCAAACCAACCCACCTCTACATCAACCAAAATGCGCTTCACTCCCGTCCTCGTTGTCGCCCTCAGCTCCTACGCCGCTGCTCAGGCCGGTTCCATCACCAGCGAGGTTGGCAGCGCCTTCAGCTCCATCACTTCTGCTGCCGCTAGCGGTGTCTCCTCCGTTGTCTCTGGTGCTTCCTCCGACGGCTCCAGCGTTGCCTCTAGCCTGAACAGCGAGCGCAGCAGCATCACTTCTGCAGCCGCCACTGCCACCGGCTCTGCTGCCTCCAGCCTCTCCTCCGCTCTCTCTAGCGCCGAGTCCCGTGCCTCGTCCGCTGCCTCGAGCATTAGCTCCAAGGCTAGCTCCAACGCCTCCAAGGCCACCGACTCCGCCTCCAAGTCGGCCTCCAAGGCCTCCAGCTCCGCCTCTGCTTCGGCTTCCAGCAGCGGTGCTGCCAACCCCAACGCCATTCCTGCTATGGGTGGTCTCCTCGGTGGTGTCATCGCCGTCGCCGGCCTTCTGTAAATCAGAGGTCACTGACGCTTTGATGACGTCACATTGGTTTTCTGCACGAGTTACGGTTGATGGACAAGCGATTCACCATGGGTTGAGCTAGATCAGGAAGTTCGGTCGGCTCTGGGATAGCGTCCAATTAGGGGTTGCTTTCAGTCGGCTCTGTACGATCAGGTCTTTCACAGCCGAAAATCTTAATACCATTAATGCATATGCTTTTTGCTCTCTATACGACATTTTTCGCATTCAAGTGACACTCTTTGCAATTATGTGTTAGCCCTGTCACCAATGCTCATGCTTGTCTGGCCAGTGTCGCCACGATCGCGTTCCACAAGCCGCGCACGTCATCCGTGTCTCCGGGTCGTAAGGCAGCCGATGTCGCCGAGCCGCCCCCGGATCGTCGCCCGCCACCGCAGCTCAAATTACCGAACAAAGTCATCCAGGCCGCTTTCGGCGCGTTTATCGGCGCGCGTCCTGGACCACATAGAAACATCGAACAAAACTCGGTGGGGATGCAAACAGCCCGATTTAGAAGACGGTGGGGAAGTTTTTGCGTGATGCGGGCCCAGATGAGGGGATCTGGGACGATCGATACGCTTGCGGGCATATGAGGCGTCGTCGTGAGAGGGGGGCACTGGGGGGTCACGAACGGGTCGGGTGCGACTGTGCCACCGCCCATCGGGGCGGGGCGGCATCCACGATCGGTAGGGGGAGTGGCAGTGGCAGTGGCAGTGATGGGGGAGTGGCGGTGGCAGTGTGAGTACTCTAGAGGCCTCTAGGCCGCTGCCGATCGGTGGCGTTGTGATTGTTCCGGGCCTTGCGCCTTGCGGCGGCGGGCGAATCAGGGGCCGGGGGCTGCGGCTTGGGCTTGCGAATGGATAGGGGGTACGTACCGGTACGTACCTAGGTACCTTTGGGTGCCTTGGGTGCTTCGTGTTTTGGGATTTTTTTTGCTGGTGGCCTGGAAGATTGGGGCTTGCTGGGGTGGGGTGTTGAGGGATGGAATAGGGGATGCGCAGCTACGGGCGGTGATTGTGCAATTATGTTTGTGCGTTTGCGATTGGTGTTGATTGTCTTTGATGTTATAATATAACGGGGTGAACTACAACGAGAGAGCGCAGAGCCATGGGTCGGGTGTGGTGTCTAGACGTCGCTTTTACTTGACGAATTGGCAGATCGATCACTGGTGGGGTCGCTCTGGTTAATTGAGCTGAGGTGCAGGATTGAAGTGATATTGGTAGAAATATAGAAAGGGGGCGATAGTTGACGGAGATGGTGTGGATGCGAAGTGGATCTGGGAGGGGAGGTTAAACTGGGAGTACCCAAGTAAAGAGGGACAAGATTGACTTACTGCAAGTTGGGATAGAAGGTGAGGTAGCATGCAAAGATTGCGAGTACACTCAATAACCAACAAAGTCCAGCAATAACTACATTGTAAGACGGCAGTAGACTTCCGCTCGTGCGGCTGCACGAAGTGTCCCAGTGGCCCTCGTGAGCGATTCTCACTCATGCCCCTAACAGTAATACCATGCGTAACAGGGGAAAGAAGTTTGATTTCCGGTTTCAGACTCAGTGGCAGATGAAATTCATCTGCGGCTTGAGTTTCCATGGCTTACCTGCATAGTACATGCAGGTGTGAAGCAGTTTCACTGATTTGGAGTAGTGATGAGCGTTGTTGAGGCTCTTTTTTTTTTTTTTTTTTTTTTTTTTTTTTTTTTTTTTTTTTTTTTTTTTTTTTTTTTTTTTTTTTTTTTGGTCAGCTTCTTTGCCTATTTCGGGAAAAATGGTGCGGTGGAGATGAATGAGGTGAGATTTGGATGTCGTTTACCCCCATCTTACCGCAGCTGACCTCGTGGACTTCGTCTTACTCTGTCCGCGCAAGCCGCGCTCTGCTAATCAACAGCTTACTCAAATCTTACTTCATCTGCTTGCGCAAGCCTTGTTGGGCCAAGCCTCAACGCTGACCGTTATCGACATTGTCGACATGGGGAGGACGGCAGACTTATAACTAAAAGAGAACACTGCCCGGCTAACCGGGTGACGCACATACCTGACACCATACCACTGCCACATACCCTTGTCAGCCAGCCTGGTCAATATTTAAAATGTAAAAATGTAATGATAAACGTTAAACCATTCCCTCTAAAAGTGTATTGCTATGTGCACAACACAAGCTTGTTCGGCCAATGGTTGGAAAAGCACGATGATGCCGATAATAGGCGGTGACTAATAATAGCTTATGATCGTACAAAGGACAATTTTTGATTATAGGTGTGACGAACTCCGACAAGCAAAGCAATGTACTTTGTAGTAACAGTTCTTCGGACCAGTAGTTAGTAGGGGGTTTTGGCATTGATGTTAAAATAGTAAGGTAGAGGTATGTCTATTTGTCGGCGAAACAAGCGAGGGGGGAACTGTTAAGGTCAGTGACGTGAAAGGAAGGCTCAAGCGCCCGACTCACCTATCTGGTGACTGCCCACCTTAGAAGGTGCCCTCGTAGTGCCTTCGACCTCTTGCCGACATCAACCCCACCGCGACCGACGCTCTTCTCCCAACGCTCCACCAAGAGACCTCAACCAAACATGGAAGAAGAGCCAGTGTCATTGAAGCGAAAGAGGTCTTCGCAGTCGCTCACCGATGATGAAGGTGAGTGAACCTCACGATTCTTCTTTCCACCAGATTAACTGGCACAGCCTAAGACGTGACAGTGGAACGGATGCTGCAGGAGCGGGAGCGCGAGGGCCTCACTATCCAAGCCTGCGTTTCCGCCAGCGCCGAGATTGCTCGGCGCAAGGCTGCTGGTATCCCTCGGGTGTTCGCGACGCGGTATGCCGACGAGTTTGACCACCTCTGGGAAGATAAGTCCCCTGACGCTGCCTCTCTTGTCGGCAGCGTGAGTGAACTCGAGGAAGGGGAGATACGCGAGACCGCCTCGGAGAAAGCTGCCAGTCTGATGAGAGAACGGAACGCCAGCAGCCCGTTGTCAAACCAGACTGGCACTGGACTCCATCAGACTAATACGCCCTTTCACCGAGGTGCTGATCCGCACCCTCTGCACCAACGTCCACCTGCCCCAAAGGGTCCGGGGAGCATTCTCAAGAATGCTCCCTCGACCCAGCATCGTTCGCTCTTGAGTCCTTCAGCGTACGCCCACGGCAAACTCACCAGCAAACAAGCCTGGGAAATCATGCCAACATCTCCTCTTAACCACAAGTCAACCGAACATAAGCCATACTTCACCCCAGGGACCGCCCTACCCTCTGTTCATCTTATCAGCCCTAACGAGCCCTCGCAGCTCCACACCAAGGCTCATGATTGTTCAAGCAACGGTGGACCAAGACAACAGCACGATGCTTCCCCTCAATGGAAGCGCTGGGTTCGCCAATGCAGCGAGCATTGGGACGTGCAGGATACAGTTCCGGTACGTCCGTACTTGACGAACAATGGCGGGGGGATTGATGGTTCGGGTGTGGTTGGCTTGCAGGTGCGCGACACAACTACTACAACTACTTCAACGCTCGCGGTATCTTCCCGCACTGAAAAGGGAGCAGATGACTTTTTGGAGGAACTGGGTCAGGAGCTGTTGGGTCGTGGAAAGTTGCCAGGGCGCTTGTTGAACGGATGAACAATATTGGCGGTGCGGAACTTCCAAGAGTTGACTTCAGCGGTGTATTTGCTTCACTGAGGGGGGTTTCAGGAAAAAGAATAGATGTGGAGCCTTGTATGGAAGCGATAAATACGTTCGCTAGCAACGAATCTTGGGTTAGGCCCAGTTTGAGCAAAAGAGGACGTTTTCTCTTCATCAAGTGCATCTCACACTTTACATAAGCCAGAGCAGGGGCGCAGAGTCTCTCTTCCTCGTTCATTCATGAACTGCCTGCAGCAAACAACAGTATTTTAACACAGATGACAACAAAAATGTGAAAGTATGAAGTGAGATTTGGAGTGGGTGGATCGTCGGTTGAATGGCGCGGCGTTTCTCGTGTCGAGGCAGGTCCGTAGGGCTGAAAGCGGCCAGCTTGCGCCAACTTCAGCCCACCCTTGCTCCCCGCCATTCAAGCTGCTCCGCGCAACACCAACACCCTGGATTCGTCGTGATACCCTAGAACGATCAGTGCGCTTACCCTGCAACATTTACTCGACCCAGGCAAACCAGGCACCGCCCAAAAGATCTTCAACATGTCCAAGATAACCCACATCAGCGCGTCTCCGCAGTTCAAGAACATCCTCTCCTCCAACACCTGCGTCGTCGCCGACTTCTATGCCGACTGGTGCGGGCCTTGTAAGGCCATCGCGCCTATCTTCGAGCAGCTCGCCAGTGCGGAAGCAAAGCCTGGCCGGATGGCGTTCGTCAAGGTGGACGTCGACGCCCACCAGGGCATCGCGCAGCAATATGGCGTCTCGGCGTAAGTCGCACGCGCACACCACACACCCACCTTCACATCAGGAGCAGGCAGCTAACTTGTCCGGACACCATACAGCATGCCCACCTTTCTCATCTTCAAGAACGGCACCGTGACCGAGACGATCCGTGGAGCGAACCCGGCCGGCCTGCGTGCCGCCGTACAGAAGGCCGCGGCCGACGCCGCCAAAGGCCCCGCCAAGCAGAGCTCTGCCTTCGAGTCGAAGGGCCACGTGCTTGGCGGCGCAGGCACTCAGACTAGCACAACGAGGGATTGGGGCTTCGCGGTCTCGCGCCATGGCGGCTTTATGGATACGCTGGTGCGCTTCTTCGCGTTATATTTCACGAGCTTACTCGCGTTCGATGCGTATGCGGCGGCAGAGGCCAGTCCATTTAATATCAAGGCCAGGAGGTGAAAGAGGCTGCGGAGTGTTGGGCGTATCTGGAGTGTTTGGGGATGGAGTTTCCGTTTTAGCCTGAAAGTGCGTGCATGAGTGGCTTCCATGGACAGAGTGCTAGATGTGATTGGTTGCTGGAGCTGCCCCTCATGTTCGTAGGTAGCTTTTCAGCTGTATATCCTAGTACGACGATTGGCCCTGTATGGCAATTAACTGGTTTGGCATGCAGCATGCGCTTTCATGAATGGTTCTGCGAACTCTGAAATGGTATTCGACAAGAGTACGAGTTGAACTAATCAGGATCGGTTTGCGTCTGCCTCGCAGCTCCAGATGTAGTACTTCCTGCCTGCATTAGATAGCTAGTCATGTGACGCCATTAGGCATGCCGCATGCCGAGTTCCCGAGACAGAGAGAAGAGATGATGAGATCTCGGGCCGCCCGTGGTGTTGATGTCGATCATGATGTATGTTGGGGATAAGCGGCAAGGAATTTACTGAGGATCCACCCGGTCATGACTCGGGCAAGCTAGCAGACACCCCTCCGCAGCCACAACTGGGCCCCGGCCAAAGACCAGTCGAGCCACCAACCGGTTTCCCACCTACCCTGCACAGCGCTCTTTCTTCCTCTGTACTCCTAATGTCTAATTTCATTCTTTCCCTCTGACCGGTGCTGCATCCTTTGCTCTTCTGCGTGCCTTCTTTTCCCGGCTGTCATGATATCCTTGTAGCTGACCTTGCCTCCGTTTCTTCATTTTCCAGGCCTAGGCCGACATGGATGCCTCTGGTTTGGACCCAGATTCTTACACAGCCCAGCGCCTTGTGCGTGAAACCTGCCTCAATCGGCCGAATCGTGACTGACTCCTGACCAGCAACATGCTACCCCCGAACACCTCTATCTTACCTCGCGCCGCTGTTTCGTCGGCCCTATCCCCGAAGGATGGCTCAAGTCGTACCGTCGCGACTGGTACAAGCACCATTTACACATCAACTACTCGTCTCGCGCCGCGACCTTCTCCGCAGGCGCTCTCGTATCCCATCATCGACGCGTGACGGGCCTGGAGACCCCTCGCACATCGGCGGAAATCCCCGCAAGCTTTCCTCAACCAGCTGATTTGGCGGCTGAGGATACCGAATATGAGGATGTAGAACCAGGGAAGGGCGCTGCTGTGGATGTGCCTGGCCCAGCTGCAGTGGTTGCTCCCCGAGCGGAACACGCAGACAATGCTATTGTGGATGAGAGCCTAGAAGAGCAGGGAAAGACACAGGACTCTTCTCCTAGTACCAAAAGAGATCGCAGAATGTCGCAAAAGGACCCTGCTCACAAAGGCAAACTCGCAGGCTCGTTTTTCACGGCTTCGGAGGGTGCTGCATCTCAGCCAAACACCGATATGCGCGCGATATCGAGGGGTGGAAGCAGTCTTCAGCCACCACCTGGCTCTCCGCGTGGTGATGCTTCTACGTCGTCTTTACTGCCCAAAGCTGACTCTGGTCCAGCAGCGGCAGTACACTTTAAGCCCATGCGGCGTGCTAACACCATGCCTACCCGTGGAGTTACGTTTGCTGTACCAGAGGAACCCAAGCGCTCCCAACTTCAGGCCAAAGCACGGTTGACACAAATGAGCTTACGTCGTGCGGGTAGCCGAACCAAAACTCGCAAGCCCCAGGAGGGACAAATCATCAAGATGGAAAAGATGCTTGTACGCGTAGAATCCACTATGGCAGACCTTGGCGACGACTTTGATGAGAATGTGGCTCGGGGTATTGACGCGAGAACGACAGAGAAGTGGAGAGAGTACATGGTTGTCTGCAGAGACAGCACGGAGGACGATGCTCAGTTTGTTCTTCAGATGTACAAAACAAGAGTAAGTTGTCCAGTTGAAGCGCAAACTGCCATTTCTACTTCCTGCCTTCAAAAGCGGCAAGACTCTTCGACAATCTTCTAGTATTACAAGGCCAGTCAAGGCAGAATGCTGATATCTTGTATTTAGGTTATACCCGGAGTCGAACAACAGAAAACCAAAAAGAAACCAAAACATGAGATATTTCTCAGCCGCAAGTCTATTAAAGTCAATCTTTATTCATCCTTAGACAAGTCTGTCGTCATCTGGGGCCCATGGCGACAATCTACGAGAATTCTTCTCATGCGCCCACGTTCTGGATCTGATGCCGTTGAATGGTATACTTTCTTGCGGAATATTCTCGGCTGGCACCGAGCAAGGGAGCTCCAGATTAACGTACCGGATTTGAACGTCAGCGTTCGTCTTGATAATCCTTTTCAGCAACTGGAAGAATCCACCGATCTTGAGCGCATTGAGGATGGTAGTGAGGATGCCATCACAAGGTCTGCAATTGAAGAAGAGCTGGTGGCACAGAACATTATCAATCGGACTCTCGACTTGCTCAAAAAATCGGGTGAGTACGGAAACATTGTAAGGCCATGGGCTGAATCCGGGCGTGTGGGTTTAGCTTGGAAGAGGTACGACCGTTTGGAATGGATACATGGCGATAACGAACGGAAAATGTATGGCACCATTGCCATGGCAAAAACCCACGAGTTGGAGTTGCGGCCGAAGCAGCATTATCCAACTACCGCCACAGATGACGAAGACGCGAAACTTCGCGAGCCAGTGCCCGTTGAAGGTTTCCTCATCAGGCTAACAAGCCAAAGAGGCGTCGACAAGAGGCTCGGGCGAATGTTTTTCAAGCGGCTCTATTTCTCGACTCATGACAACTTCCTGGTATTTTCTAGGCCAGCGAGGGCAAATCCTCCTCCGCCTCCAAAGCTGCCCAGTTCTCGCGGGTCTAGAATCCCGTCAGCAAAACAAATTGCTGAGGGAATCCCCATCGTTTATGCGGTAATTGTTCAAAATAACCTTGTTTGTAACCAAACACTAACCTTCTGATAGGTGAACCCGTACCCTATCAAAAACGGAGAGATCGAGTGGCTTGCAGCTGGTAATCGAGGACTGCCTGAAGATATCAACCACCATGATCAGGACGCACGCGATGAAGCCGAGAGGAAGACCGATTTGCTCCTCAAGTGTGATGGCTACATAAATCTTTGCAACGTGACAAAGATCAGAAACGTGCAGCGTGGAGCGACGGCTGTGGATGAGGATATAGAGAGCGGCTCAGACGTCGACTTTGACCGAGAAGTGGCCGACACAATGCAAGACGACGGTGTCACCAAAGAGTTTGATGACGAGAGGACTTTTGAGCTTGTCCTTAAGAATGGGCTGCTCATCCGTCTCCAGGTAAGCACTTCTTTAACTTGACATTAGGGGCATTAACTGACCAACGCTCTCTCTAGGCTTACAACAAACTCACGAAAAACGAGTGGATGCGTCGTCTTCGTGACCTCGTGAAATACTGGAAATATCGTTCAACCAGCGATATTGAGCTTACGAAATCTGTACGGAGGCGAAATCTCGCTCTTCTCAACATTGACGAGGAGGCGGAAGCCCTAGTGGGCCAGTTTGCCCGGAAATGGGAAGTCCTGCATACACATGCTAGCCCAGATCTGTACAATCTCTGTGGAATCTCCAACTGCAGAACAGTACATGTACGTTGCCATACCGGCTCTCTAAACACCGGCATCTAACGAAAGCACCAGATCGCAGGCACACTTTACCGCAAACCACGGCGACACGGCACCTTCACACGCTGCTCTGTCATCCTGTCCAGCGGCAAACTCCTGGTCTTCCAAGACTCCCTCCGCAAAGCGACCGGCAAGCAAATCTCGCACATCCACAACGAACACACCGCGACGATCGACCTCAGAGACTGCTACCTCTACAGCGGCCTCGTAACGGAAAACGACCTCCTCTACCAAAACCGGACTTTTGACAACAACCGGCCAGGCCACACAGCGCTGCCGCGCATCTACCTCGAGGACGGCTGGACCAGCACCGACGAGGACAGCATGACGTGCTTTGTCATCTGGCACGCCGCCAGGCGTAGCCTCTTCCGCCGCGAGAAGCTGCACAGCCCGGAGGACAAGGAGCGCGATCCCGCGCGCAAGACGCGCTTCAAGTGGGTCAGCCAGCTCGGCGTTCCGGGCAATACGATGGTGTTTAAGGCGCGCAGCCGCGCGGAGCGGGATCATTGGGTGCTGGCGATTCAGACGGAGATTGAGAAGATGGGCGATATGGACGAAGTGAGGATTACGGGCGTTGATTGAGTTGGTTAATGGGGAGCGTGGAGGAGGTGGGTAATGGTTTGGAGAGGATGAGTGGAATGCGTTTAATTGGGTTGGCTTGGGCAGCGGTTTCTCCCGCTTCCTCTTCTTGTTCTTCTGGTTCCTAGCGTTGCACACATTCTGTTTTGCGATTGAGATACACCTCGAGGCGCCAGTCCTCTGCTGCTTTTTTTCTTTTGTTGTAACAAGACCGCTGTAGTCATGAGTTCTGAGGCAACTAGTTCGCCTGTTGACCGAATTCATAATTGTAAAAGTACATGTATCGTACATGCTTAAGAAAGATGATTGAAATCGGCTTAGAGGCTCTCTGGTAAAAGGCGAACAAGCAGCAATCAAGAAGTTCATCATTGGAGTCAGGTTCGTTACAGTAGAGACATCGAAGCAGCTCTCAGATTTGCCATTTGCTATTTACCATCACCACCACATCGGCCCCGACGCCATCTTATCTTAACCTTTCCTCCGTATACCTACCTAACCACTCAATCACCCTCTCCCCTCGCCGGCTGCGCGCCATAATACTTGCTCATCTCCAGCCGCACCAACAGCCGCTCAATCGTGTTCTCCTCGGCCAGCACCCCGCTCTTCTCGCCAAACAGGCCGCCGCCCAGCGCCGCCGCGGCCTGGCCCCGCGCATACCCCCGCTTGCCCGCCAGCCCGCGGCACACGCTCATGAAGACCTGGACCTTGCTGCGGAACGCGGCGCGCAGGGCGGGCACGGCAGCCGCGTCGTCGGCACTCACAGCGTGCTCATGCTCGTGCTCGTGCTCGTACCGCGCAGCGATCTTGGCATACCCCAGCACTGCCTCGAAAATGTCCTCCAGCAGCGCCAGAAGCTGCGCCTGCCGTCGCCGCAGCAGCAGCGCAAACAGCATGCGCTCGAGGCACGCGTCGTGGGCCGCGCGCACGCTCTCCAAGCCCTCGGTAACGCGGGTGCCGAGCTCGCCACGCGCGTCCTCGGCCGCCAAGCGGCGCTCCAGCTCGTCGAGCCAGGCCGCAAACGCGGCCCACGTCTCGCGGATGCCGCTGTCGAAGAAGTAGGCCGCGATGCTCGTGACGAAGTGGTGCGCCTCGGCGCGCAGCGAGTGGCTTTCGGGCACGCCCGGCAGGCCGTGCCGCGGCAGCTGGTGCGAGACGACGAAGAGCATACGCGAGATGCGCAGGAGGTGCTTGAAGCATTGGTCGTATTTGTCGAGGGCCGAGGGCGTGATGACCAGGTGCAGCGGCGGCGGCGCCGTGTACTGCAGGCGCAGGAAGTCGAGCGCGTGCAGCGAGTTGGGGTCCATGACTTTTTCAATGTCCGCCGATGGGAGCGTCCGGATTGCGAAGCTGAGGTTGCCTGGCAGGTCCGGCGTCTCTCTGATGCCGACCTCGTGTTGGGCTTTCACCGAAGGGTCGTTCTTGTAGGTCTGGTACAGCTCCGAGGAGTGGTACGTCTCGCTCAGGACTCCCATCAGTGCCAGACGCAGCTCTGAACTTGCTGGCGGCCATGTAGACCGTGATCCCAGCTTCAACCCCATCGGCGCTCCCGTTCGCACGGTCCCGCGCTTTCTCTCTGCGGTCTCGAGCTCGGGACTGAATAACGCAGAAGTCAGGCGAGACATGAAAACTCCATCGCCGAGCAGGTGGTATTGGCGTTGTACCGCCAGATGCAGCCGTAGTCCATGAGACCTGAAGAAGAGACGGAGCGTCGTGGCATTGACGAGGCGGGCCTGCGCCATGAAAAGTGGCGTAAGAGACAAGGAAGGAGTGACCGATAGAGGCGGGGCGAAAGTGAATGCGTTTTCATCATCAGCGGCCTTTACGGAAATGCAGTCAACAACTAAGCGGTGGAGAATCGCCGAAGCGCCAGCTTCCTCGGTGGTGGGAGCTTGGTCGAAGAGTTTCGCTGTGTCTTGGAAGTACTTTTCAGTGTCAGTGAGCTGCGGCTCGGACAGAAGCTTTTTGATTTCTAGCTCTGAGTGTTCACCCATCGCGGCATCTTGAGTCTTTTGTCCAAATTTGTGTATCGCGTCGACAAGACTTCTCTCGTAATCCTTTGCCTTTGCGGCCACGTTCTCCATCACCTCCCAGTCAAACTTCCACTCGAGAGGAGGCGCATGAACACCGGACGAGTGTGGGGCGCATAGAGGATGGCCTCCATGATGCTTTTCAAGAAAGCGCAAACTCTTTCCAGTCTCGAATATCATCCGGCCGTCTTCATCCGTTATAAAGATGGGCATATTCTCGGGCCGGTAAATATGCTCAACTCTCTTCGAGCTTTCAGTTTGGTCTTCCGAAGCTTCGTCAATGTCAGCAAAGCTATTTTTGAGCTCTTTCTTGCCAAATTTGGCATCAAACCCGTGTCTCAAGCCAGCCCACCCCGCGGCGAACTGGATCCAGGGGTTTGTGACTTTGGACAGAATTTCCAGAAACAATGATCGCAACCAGTTGTCACCCTGATCCATGTCCTGGACCCGGATATATAGTTGAGTTACCAGTTCCTCGTTACTGCGCGTAGTCCTCACTGCCTCCACCATCTCCCTCAGCAAGGAAAGAATCCGGTGTGGGCGCTCGAACAGATCTTGAAGTTGCAGCAGACTGTTAACAGAGGTTGCTTGATTGCCGAGGTGGTTTTCTAGCGCAGATAGAATTGCTCCTATAGCGTTCGCCAAAGCCACCCGCGCAGGAAAGGCATTGCTCGTCACATACGTCTTTTCGACCATGTTTCGGAGATACCTGACTGTCGCGCCGCCTTGAATGAAGTTGTTAATCAAACTTTGTGCCGATTCTAGGCTGAATCCGGACATGCGACCATCTTCAATTGCTTGCGCGAATGCTTGGCTCTGAGCATCGAAGCGAAACAGAGCAGACGAGCGGCCAAGTCCCAGGTTGTATAACGACTGCAGAAGTATATCCGCCCGTATTATCCTTCCCGAACCTTTACTCTTCTCTTCATCCTGTTGTTGCGCGACAGCGACATCGAACGCCTCGGGCCCCGCTTCACCGACATAGGTATGGCTGGGTTCCTGGTAGCCTGGCTTTCCAAACGCTTCCCACGACTGGAATCTTATGTCCTGATGTGCCGGGGCAAGGTCCGCGACAGTATCCCAGACATCCTTGTCCTTGACTTCATTTTCGGGCGGTTGTTGCGGCGCCGCGGACGATACGGTCGACTCTTGACCGGAATCCAGGTCCTCAAGCACGCCATACTGGAAGGTTTCGAGATCCGGCAAGCGCAGGTCATGTTCGAGGTCTTTCGAGGGAGCATAGGGGTTGTCGAGCTTTATAGCGGTTACTGCAGGCGTTAGTTTGCAGCCGGACGCGTCGGGCACGAAGCGCACATACTGTCAAGCTCGATGTTGGGGAAGAGGGTTGAGGAGGCTTCTAGGTCGGGAAGCGCGAGGCTCGAGGAGCGCCAGAGGTCGCGGACGGCGAAGGCATCGAGGTCCTCGTCGATGTTCATGGTGTCATGGGGAGCGGGCCATGACGCCGGGCGTGGGAAGACGCGTTGTCAGGGCCGCGACTCGTGTATGCATGGACCCTGGCTGCTCCGGGTAGCCGTCGCGCAGAGTGCCAGGCCTCATCTACTTGATACTTTGCGAATTTCGACATTATACATGCACGACTGGCCGCGGTCACGTTGATTAATGCTCGGCCAGAAATGCCCCGCAACCTAGTTTCTGCCCCACGTTGTAGCAGACGCTTCTGCATTGGCACCCCGCACCCCGCTCGTGTTCGTGGTATCAGTAATCCCGAAGGATGCTTATTATTTCACTCTGTCCCAACCACATACTTAACGTCTGCCCCCTCATTTTTGCTAAATAAATACTACTACTTCCCGTCAAACATGTCCGAGTTCGATATCGCTGCCGTGCGCAAAAAATTCCCCGCTCTGGACCAGGAGCAGGTCTATTTTGACAACGCTGGTGGAAGCCAAACCTTGGGCGATGTCATCACATCGTAGGTTTAAGACCATTGCAATGCTCCCTGCGAAGCTTTCTAAGACTCCGCCAGCATCTCGAACTATCTCTCGAACAGAAATGTTCAGCTCGGCGCGTCGTACAAAGTTGGGAGAGAGTCCACTGAGTACTATACCACAGGCTGTAATGCAGGAGCCAAGTACATAAACGCAGAACCGGACGAGGTTGGTATGTTGAAAATGCTTTTTTTGTTTTCAGTCCCGTAATAGCTTTCTTTCTTTGATCGTCAAAGCCAAAAACCCTTTATTTTCGTAAAGTTTGCCATCCGTCCGTAGGTTCTGATCCCAACCAGTCATTGGGCCGTCGACAACCCAACTCTTCCGCAACCTCTCTCAAGCCATCAAGTTCTCCCCTGGCGATGAGTTGGTTGTTTCAAAGTTTGACCATGAGGCCAACATTGCATCCTGGGTTTCAATTGCCGAGCGCCAAAACCTTACCTTGAAGTGGTGGACCTCAGCACCAACCACCAACCCCAAGCTCGACCCTGAGAGCCTCAAGGGACTGCTCTCTCCTCGCACAAAGCTCGTCACGTGCACTCAGGCATCCAACATTCTCGGGACTATCCACGATATCAAGGCAATCGCTCAGGTGGTCCATTCCATTCCCGGCGCCATGCTCTGCGTGGATAGCGTGGCCTATGCTCCACACCGTCGGATCGACGTGAAGGACCTCGGTGTGGATTTCCTCAGCTTCTCATGGTACAAGGTGTACGGTCCGCACATAGCGATGCTGTATGGCAGCCGTGCCGCGCAGCAGCAGCTGACATCGCTGGGCCATTACTTCAACCCGTCGACTACACTGGAGAACAAGCTTGGACTGGCGGCAGCAAACTACGAACTCACCCAGAGCCTCCCTGCCGTTGTCCGGTACCTAGGTGGCGACGAGCCAGGAAAGACGTCGAATGGTATTGTAGCTCATGAGGCGAAGTTGCAGAAGATCCTTCTGGACTACCTCGCCTCGAAGCCTGACATTTTCACCGTATACGGTGATCCTGAGTCAGACCCGGCCAGAAGGGTTCCAACGGTGAGTTTCGGGGTAAAGGGAAAGGGGTCGCGGGAGGTCGTCGAGAGCGTCGAAAAGGTGTCAAACTTTGGATTCCGCTGGGGTCATTTCTACTCGAAGAGGTTGGTGGATGAAGTTCTGCAGCTCGGTGATGAGGGTGTCATCCGCGTTAGCATGGTGCATTACAACACAGGTGAGTTTGTTTGTCCTGGCCGTTGATGCATACTGACCTCTGATACAGAGGGAGAAATCAGATCGTTTGTTGAGACATTGGATCGTGTTCTGTTCCGCTAGGAGAAGCGGAGAGAGCTCGCATCCGATGCCGGCAACCGATGGGCTCCTGCATATGTATGTCTCACTCTCAATTGAAGCGATTGCCTCTTCCGGCCTGTGATCAGCGCTGCCGTCTCCGCATAAAGTTACCTGTGCCGCCCGAGCTCCGATTTATTCGGCCCAGCCACTTTCTACGCAGGCCTCAGAACATTCCATAGCCATGTGGATTGTGGAAACGGCCAATTGTCAGACACGATTATGCGCAAGGCCATAGGGCCAAAGGAAAAGTCCAAGCTCCTTGCCCCCTTCACGGTTGCAAAGTGAGAAGGGGCAACTTACAGCTCACACATTATTAGCAATTGGGCTCGAGTTGGCCAGCCCAAGACGCATAGGCCAACTACTTCGAAGTCTCAGAGTGCTACCTACACTGGGATTGAATAATTAAGACGGTCGCAGTCTGGACCATTGAACGACAGGAAGCCTAACCAGACGGCCAGGATTCAGTATGACAACGTAAGCGTTGGGAATGGGGACGCGGCCAGTCAAGGGCGAGGAATTACCAAAGCGTGAGCGGAAGCCAGTCGACGGTCGAGGATAGAGAGAAAAAAGCTGACAGAGAGAACGGGGCCGGGATGGAGCCGGGGGTGGGCAACAGGGCAACTGTCGCAAAGTCGCTACACCAGCGATAACCTTACCACAACGCGCGGACACGCAGCAGCGCCTCCCGCGTAATCCCCCATAGCAGGCGTTGAGGTTCGGAGCTCCGGCTTGGCGAGACTGAATGTCTCACGGCTCGAGACTGATTCAGGTCAAGCGCTGGGGTTGGACCACCTAGGCGACGTAAGCTCTTGCGCGGAGCACTTACAACTCCAAACACCTGCCAAGAAACCCTCTATACCATATGCCGACGCTGCTATTGGCCTGTGCGAGTGAGCATGGCCGCCGTGCGAATCCGACTTGGTTCTAGCTTCCCTACCCGTTTCGTCACGACGCCTTCTCGCCAGCCTCTGCGCCTTCGAGGACGACAACATCCGCGTAATGCAGTGGCCATGGTTGGCGGGCGCAGGGAGACGAGCTCCGTTTTCCCCACAAAATGTTTGACTTGCTGCGTGCTGTGTTTGTATAAAGCCGTTTACATCTCGCTGCGTTTGGTCTATCATCACTCACCTTCATTCGCCAGAGTACATTCGTTCTTCTCTGCTATTTCTCTTCGATTCTTCTGCCAGTCCAACTCGCTCAATCCAAATCCAAATCCATCACCATGGTCCAATTCACCAAGATCGCCGCCGCCGCCCTCATTGCCGGCTCTGCCGTCGCCCACCCCGGCGAGGTCCACGAGCCCGCTCAGATCCGCCGCGAGATCGCTGAGCGCGACGTCGTTGCCAACCGCTACGTTCGCAGCCTGGGCAAGTGCGCCTCCAACACCAAGGCCCAAGAGGCCTCTGAGCGTGCCGCTTCCCGCCGTGCCTCCAAGGCCGAGAAGCTCCGCCAGGCCCGTGGCATCTCTAGCAGTAAGTTTGCAGCCCGTTGACAGCCGGGAGCGTCAAATCACTGACAGCCACACCCCAGAGCCCTTCCTGCACCGCCGCGACCTGGCCACCCTCAAGAAGTTCGAGGAGGTCAACCACAACATGACGGGCCAGATCGACACCTTCGACAAGCAGACGCTCTTCGGCGCCAAGACGCAGGTCGCCCTGACCCCGGAGGACACCATCGGCCCTTACTTCGTGACGGGCGAGTACCTGCGCTCCGAACTCACCGAGGGCCAGCAGGGCGTGCCCATGCACCTCGAGTTCCAGTTCACCGACGTCAACACCTGCGAGCCCCTCTCCGGCCTGCTGGCTGACATCTGGGCCGCCAACGCCACCGGCGTCTACTCCGGCGTCTCCGCTACCGGCCAGGGTGGGCTTAACAGCACCTTCCTCCGCGGCCTGCAGCAGACTGACGAGGACGGTGTCGCCTCCTTCGACACGCTGTTCCCCGGCCACTACACTGGGTAAGCCTCCATCCGGCATCTACCCCGCCACACCACAGAAAGCAGTGAAGCTAACATCCCCACTCAGCCGCGCCACCCACCAGCACGTCGTCGTGCACCAGAACGCCCAGCTCCTCTCCAACGGCAGCTACACGGGCGGCAAGGTCTCGCACATCGGCCAAGTCTTCTTCGACACGGCGCTGCGCAGCGCCGTCGAGGCCACGGCCCCCTACAACACCAACACGCAGGACGTGACGTCCAACGACGACGACATGTGGACGCCGTCGGCCGCCAACAACACCAACTACGACCCCTTCCCGGAGTTCGTCTACCTCGACCCCTCGGACATCACCAAGGGCCTCCTCGTCTGGATCAACATCGGCATCGACACCACTGCCAACCACACCTCCGACGCCACCAACGCCGCCTACCTTGCTGCCGACGGCGGCCACTCCACCGGCAACACCATGGGCGGTGGCAACGGCGCTATGCCCTCTGGCGCTGCCCCCAGCGGTGCTATGCCCTCCGGCGCTGCTCCCAGTGGTACCCCCTCCAAGCGTGCTCCCCACTCGTACGCCTTCAACAAGCTGTTCGCTGGCTCCGCCAAGCGCTGGATCTAAGCTCGTCCTCTCCCCGCGGGCTTTCTGAGGCTTTCTGGGTTTGAAAGGGCGTTGGCGTTGGTTGCCAAATAAGCCGAGCTGTTGAGCTTGCGCGCTTTTTTTTTTTTTTTTTTGTATAGTGTACAGATTTTTAAAAAATTTCCTGTTCAATTGTAGTATTCCTCTCGTGTAAAGCTTTTTTCGTTTGCTGTGCTTTTGTTGTACGTTGTTTATGATCAATTCAGTTTGAGTTCCTGTTTTCTTCATCACGGCCCATTGTAGAAGACCAGAATGATACCATTGCTGCTAACTGCGTGCTGAGAAGAGATGTACCTGTGCACCATACTACCGAAAGCCAAACTCCGAAACTGTCCTTGTCCGTGTCAATTTCATCCCATCGTCGCTCATAGCCCATTCACGCATCAAAATCGGCCGTCAGAGTTTCGCATATCACTGCCGTTACTACTCATTCCCACGTAACCTTGACGGTTCAACAAAGCAATAGCACCGACGGCCGTGTTCAATAGCAAAAATGTCCGACTCCCCCTTGGTCCATAAAGAATTCCCTATGCACCTCCTGAAAGAATCCGAAAGAAGAAGCCATACCAACCTTAAGTATAGCTCCGCATCGCATCGATGTAGCCCGTCCCACCCTTGAGGTCACGCTCAAAGTCCTCCGCAACATCAAGCACTGCCTTGATGTGCGTCATGCTCAGCTTCTCGCCCTGGTGGATCGCCAGCGCCTGCGCGGTGCGCACAGCATTCTTGATCTACACCAAAGTAACGTCAGCACTCCGCCACAAACGCGCGCGCAAAGAGAAACAAAGTGACGTACCTGTCGGCCGTTGAGTGGATTACGGGCCAAAGTGTCATAGTCCGAAGGCTTGAAGTCCACCGTAGCTGTCCCGTCCATCTCGTGTACTTTCCTTAAGAACATCCGCCAGATATCCCGCTTCGCCTGCGTAGAAAGCTCCTCGTAGCGCAGACCAATGTGCGTGCGCGATTGAAACGCATCGTCGAACGTCTCGACTCGGTTTGTCGTCAGGAACAGAATGCCCTGGAAGTACTCCAACAGACGCAGGAAAATCGACACTAGTGCATTGCGGTGGATGTCGTGGACCTGGCGCTTCTCGAGAAAGACGTCCGCTTCGTCAAGCAAGAGAACTGCACCCCAAGAGTGCGCAATATCCATGATCTTTTGCAATTCTTGCTCCAAGCGCCACGATTCGGTTCCGAGCTCTCCCGCGCTGACGGCGTACAACGGGCACTTTAGGTAGTCAGCGATACCTTCAGCAGTCAGTGTCTTGCCCACACCGGGAGGCCCATGGAGGACAAAGACCATTCCACGCCCTTTGCCTTGGACCACGTCGTCAATAGTCTGAGCAGCGTGGAACTTGTGACTGGATACCATGGCTTTGACGATAGACTTTCGATCTTTTTGGAGGACCAAGGAAGTGAAGGCTTCATCGTTCCACTTGATGTCTTGAAGGCCGGAAATAGAGAACTCCATCCAGCGCTTCTCGGAGAAAGCAAAGCCCAGTACCACCGGCGATGCAATTAGAAGCTCTTCTTCAGTGAACTCCTGTACTTTTTCCGTTCCTTCAGCGTCCTCTCCGTTGGTATTCTCGCCCAGCTTATCAAGTTTTTCGACCTTGATTTCGTCGCCATCTTCATCCACTGGAACTTCCAAGACATGATGTTCCTTTTTTACTTCGTCATAAATGACTTTGAGCTTGGTCTTTTCTCGCTCTTCATGCCCCTCCGCAGCTGGATTCTGTGGGCATCCGGGACCGTCTTCGTCGTCCGACTCCGCGTCGCTACAATCGCAACATGAAACGATATCATAGAGCGCATCCTGGTCCTTGGGTTTAATCAGTGAAATCGGATAGTTCGGATTGATGCGTCGAAAGATAGCGGGATCAATCATGACGCGACCATTGACGTTGTGCTTTGCGACCATCTTCTTCCTTTTCTCGAAAGCAAGGCCCTTGTGGAACTTGTAGTTCATTCCTGTCATGGTTACGAATGTCTTGCCCCTTTCTATCAGCTGTTTTTTGAGCGTTTCACAGTCTTTGTGGTAATGAAGAGGGTAAGTGGCCAGGCTAGTGATCTTTCGAGGGCCCTTGAAGGACTCGACATTGATCTCAAAGTCACCCAGTCCATAATTCTTTCCGTCATACTCCAGGTAGCGGCCTTCGATACAGTACCAGTCACCACGAATGAATGAGCTTTCCTTCGTAGCGTAGTCGACTTTGAAGCAACGAGGGTTCTCGACAGAGCCGTAAGTTGTGGTATATGCCACGGTGTTTGGCTTGAAAAGTGCCCATAAGAGATCAAAAGTGATGTTTCCAGCGTTCAGCATGGGATATAGAGTCTTCTTTGTCTCATCGTAATCTTCATCGAGGAAGCGAACCATGACCTTGCAGTGTGCGATCATCAGGTTTATCCTTTTCCTACTCTTCTTTTTCTTTTCCTTCTTAGCTCTCGCCTTCAGTGTTTTCTTGGCGTGGGTGCGGAGCTCTTCGAGGTAAAGAAAAAGCAAATTAGGATCGATCTGCAATGCAAAGTCAGCCTCATATAAGGGTCATGCAAACAGGGTTAGCTTACGCAAGGTTGCTCCTCCACTAAAGACACTCCCTTGACGTCCTTCATGATTTCTTGTAGCGCCTCGCGTAGAAGCTTGGACTTGATGTCTACAACAGTGTTGCGGTACTTGTTCTCCCAATCGAACTTTCTTCGCACGGTGAAGACATACGCATCAAATTCGTCTACTGGGTCCTCTGCGCTCTCCGTGAGCTTGTAGTTGTGGATTGTACTGTCCCAAAGTTCATCGACACGCTTGAATCCCACCGTACTGCCACGCTTGCCAAGTGCTTTCTTTGAAGACTTCTTCCCCTCTCCCTTTTTCTTCTTCCGTCCTACTTCCGGAGGCGGAATTATATCATCAAGGGGTGGTAGCTGCCTTGTGCTGAGTGGAAGGCCTGGCATTAGTTGAAGGATGCGTTTCTGTAGGCTCTGTTGCTCTAGCAGAAGCTGCAACAACTGGTCTTGCTTCGCGACTGCGTCGTCTTCGATCTCTTCTTCCGACTCATCGCCACTCTCCAACTCTACAACCTTCCGGGACTTCTTCCGGTGGCGGCGGGAGTGAGTGTCTTCCTCGGATTCAGAGCTGGAGGAGCTGTCGGAGGAATCGGAGGAACATTCGTCAGAGGAAGTCTCATACTTTTTTGGCTTCTTCTTGTACTTTTTTGCCTTTGCTTTCATTTTACGAAGCTTCTGGGCCCTTTTGCTGGACCTTTTGCGTGCCAGTTCTTCGCCCGACGAGCTGCTCTCGGAGCTGTCACTAGAGAGCGAGTCGTTGCTCTCGGATGAGCTGTCGTCAGAGTCGGATTCTGAAGCGACTGCTCGCTTACCCTTCTTGGAGCGCTTCGCCGGTTTGTGCTTCTTGCATGAAGCCTTGGGCTTTTTCGGCTTGTTTGGCGACTTTTGATTATTGTCTGCGGCTAAAGTGAGATCGACGGAGGCGTCTGCGGGCTGTGACACGGCAAGGTTGTCGGCCTGGCCGGTCTGGTCGTCGCGCGCGTTGTCCATGACGTCGGCAGAGGAAGAGGACGAGGAAGAGAAAATGGATGGGAAAAGAGCGGGCGGAGTTGTGTAGATGAGGGCGTCGAGGCAGCGGTTTAACTATTGTTTGCGTTTGCTCATATCGTGTAACTAGGTAGGCAGGCGCTGCGCTGGCAATGCAAATAAGTTGCTGACGCTGCCTGGGGGAGGCGCGCACCCCTACACCGCATGACTGCACCTTCAGCCTCGTTGCCAGGCAGCACTACAAATGGCGTGCGAACATCTGTTTCGACATATTCTGTCTGCATAGCCAGCCTCCCGTTCATGCAGCAACCCATGACCTCCAATGCATGCGCGCACCCGCAATTACTCACGAGCTCACCTCCGACTTCTTGCTCGCCTTGACATGACCCAGCGCGTGCGCGTGTGCCGTCTTCATCTCACTCTCCGGAACGCCGCCCGGAAGGTCGCCCGTCGCAACGTGCTCGATCCCGTTGATGATCCCCGCAACCGGCTCCGCTCGTTGCACAAGCGGCTTCTCCGTCTCCTCGATGCCTGCCGTCCTGCTGAGTTCTGGATTCGACGCCGCCGGCACTATCTGCGCCTCGTCATTCGGACTCGACGACTCTTCCGAGTCGCTGTTTGGCGCATTCACCTTTCCTTCTCCACTGGGCCCATGGGTTTTCAGGCCTATCGTTTCGTTGAGTGCATCTTGCTGCGAAACCATGCCGGCCTGCTGTCCCTGGTCCTCCTGGTCGCCAATGCTGCTCGCCTTGCTGGCAATAGGGCTCCCGGACATGGGAGTCGCTGTCCTCAGGCCAAGGTCCTTGCTCCCACCGGGCGAAGGCTTGGCTGTGCCTTTCCAATCAACCGCCTCAGCCTGCTTGACTTTCTCTCCTACCCTGGGCTCTCTAATAACCACATCCGGTCGTCCAGTCTCCTGGTCAGGCAGAGCTCTCCAAACCACAGCAAGCTTGTCGAAGGCCCTGGTTCCCTTCCTGCTGCTGCCTTTAATGCCATCCATCTTGTCCCATTCTATCTCAAAGACACCCGAGCTTTCCGCCTCGCCCTTATTTTCAGGCCCTTTGCCTTCGAAGAAAGTATTGAACCAGACGTGAGCGACCGACGTGACCATGGTAAATCCGGCCATTGCTTTGTTACGGCGTTCAAAGTCGATATTGATGTCGTTGGTGGGCAGGACTACGCGCTTGCTTGGGCGGAAAATGACGTCTCCACCGCCTTGGCTTTGGTTTTGATCTTGGGTGTCTCCAGGCTCCTCTACGCTCCTCTTACCCTCCGATTTGCCGTCAAGCTGACCGTCAGCTTTGGGATCCAAGGTCTTTCCACTTGTGGGAGCCTTGCTGCCAGTGTTGCGGCCCATGACTTCCGCGACCACGTCTGCCAAACCTCCACTGTCTTTGACTGTTCCCCTCACCACTTCTCTTTCCGATCGGTGAAAGGTGTGGAAGGTCTTCATGGCCTTTCCCTCATCCACAAAGCCTTCCACAACAACCCTGACTCCATCTCTAAGCCCCCAAACGTGCACTTCAAGTATCTCGATTTGTCTTTCGACATATAGCTTGCCTGCTCTTGTCCATCGGTCCACATAGCCGACCCATCTCAATTGGCTCGGAATGGAAACACCCGCCCCAAACCCAGGCCTCATTCTGCGTTCGGTGAATCTATTGAGGGCATCCTCGGCTTGCCAGCCCTCTTCTGAGATCAGATATGAGCAGCTCACTGTTCCAGAGCGGCCCTTGCCAGCTTTGCAGTGTACTACAACCACGCGCTCCTTGTCCTCTCTGAGCCAGTTGCGCATGCTAGCCATGATTCGTGGTACGAGTGCGAAAGGCGGCGGGTGGTGATCCGGCCACGGGAAATGCCAGACACGCCCGTATACTTCTGAGTCTGGATACCCCGTACCCTCAGCCCGGAATTCCCAAATTGCCCATTTGTCGCCGTGGCTCTTGTTTAGGAACTTTACGAGTTGGTCCAAGGGGTTGCGGTAGGCGCGTTGCGGGTAGGTGCCACTAGGGCCAGAGGTTGCGATGATATTGTCGGTGACATAGCAAAGGTCAAGGCCGGCTTCAGGATGGCGTGCGCGAGGTCCCGCGACGATTTGGCGGAGAAGTGATGCCTGCTCACTCGTTAGAGCGGAGCTTGCTGGTGAGTCGCAGGACGGTTGGGTTAACAAACCATAGCGCAGGATGCGTTGAATAAGCCGAGAGATTATTTGCGCGGTCACACAGCTATACTGAGGTGTGAATGCGTCGATTTAAGTAAAGACATGGTTTGCCAGCGTCGAAGGTTGTTGAGCAGAGCACATGGCTCCGGGTTGCCAGCTTGCCCGTTTCCCTGTCGTGAGTTGTGACGACGTCATGGAACGTCGGAGGTCAATGCAAGTTTCAGGTAAGCTGCGCCGAAACGTCAACAGGAACTAATTCCGTTTTATCAATCCAGATATCTTTCAGCTACGAAAATACATCATGCTAGGTTCTACCTCGTTATCCTAGGATCGTTCATAGACACCTTGCCCCAATTGTTGTCCAACCATGACTTCAGCTGTCTCACGCCGTCCGCATCCACGCCGCACTCCTTCATCATTTCCAAAACCTCCCAAGCCCTCTGGTCTTGCTCCCTTGCACACCTCCGTGCCATTGCAACGAAAGTAGCTGGCCGTGGGTTCCAGCCTCGGTTGCGCATCTCTTCATAGTATCGGAAGGCATCCTCGTAGTCTTGTTCATCCATAAGGCAAACCAGAAGGAGGCGATCATACGTGAGACTGTCGGGCTCAATCTTACGTGCCACCATCTCAGCAGCCAGAAACATGGCCAGGTCTTTGCGCTTCTGACACCCTCTGAGAAGAATATTGAATGTCGTAGTTGTCGGGCCGCCGTCGCAAATGATATGCAGGGCTTTGTATTGTTCGATCGCCAAGTCCAAATCGCCTCGATAGACGGTTGCTTCTATCAAGGCGTGACCAGCTACTACCGGGACAGCTTGCCCGCTTTCCTTGAGGGACTTGAGAATATCAAAGGCTTCCTGAGATCGTCCGGTGTGAACACGCGCCCACTTGTAAATTCTTCTCGTAGAATACTCATCCGGAGGAGTACTGGTTTCATGCATGATGCATAGAATGGATAGAGCAGTTCTGATATCACCAACGAAGAGATACGTGTCTATTAGCACTTCGTAGTGCTGCTGCGTGAAAATCTCCTTCCGATCACTCAACAGACGGAAGACATCTGTTGCAAGAGCAGCGTCTCCATGTCGTGCTGCTGTGGTAAGAACATTGAAGCATATTCCCGATGCAGGATTTAGATAACCTGATCTGACTTGTCGGTTCCAGACATACTCTGTCGCTTCGTGCTATCGGGAAGTTAAATCGTTGCAGCTCTCAGCGCGTTATTATGACTTACATGGAGACAACTGCTGGCTGCATCAATCAGGCAATGCCACACTCCTCTTGAAATGTGCATTTCCCCAGACTCTGTACGATGCTTGATGATTCGAAGCGCCTCATCTACTTCCTCTATGTCACAAAGCATGTACACCGTCATATCGTAGAGCCATTTCTCAATCCGTATGCCTTCTCGAACCATGGTGTCTAGGCGGTCCAAGGCCAACTCATACTGCCTTTCACGGAGCAGTCCAGCAATCACGTCTTGGTGGCCGTCAGCTCGTAATGAGAACCATCTTTGGCGCATATAGTCGAGAATTGCATTTCGAAGGAGATAATCCGGATGTACCGCCAATACCTGCACCATAACTCGTTAGTCCGCTTGAGTGAATCAAAGTACAGGCCGTACGTACCTTGAGGATATCGTGGCAGATTTCTACAGTCGGCTCCAATCCTTCTTCTCCCATCTCTTTCAACAGCGCGGCCGCACCAGCGGCAGAGCCATGTTGCGCATTGCAATTTGAACGAATGCATGCAGAATAGAGGGCCAGATTCGGTTTCTCGCGCCTTCTGATCAGTAGGTAATATACCAACCGGTTGACTACGGATGTTTGTCCTTCTGTACCTGCTCGTCGCAAATGCTCATAAATAGCGTTGATATCGGCGTTTTCCAGCGCCGAAAACGAGAGATCCCTTAACAATCCATTTCTCTCAGACCTTAGGAAACTCGGTCGCTTGATTTCTGATGGTGCATTGCTAGAAATGCGGGTGCTTGATGCGCGCGACGCAGCGCCAAATCCAGAAGAGAGTGGTGTCGGCCGCCTAGCAGAGACCCTCAAACGTGCACTCCTGGCGCCCGCAGGGACATACTTGAATGTGGGACAAAGGCAATGCCGCAAGCCGTCCAAGGCAGCAGCTGGCGTGGTCATTGGGGGGCGGTTGTGGACGTCGACTGAGAGGCCGGGAAATATGGTGGTTGCTGCGGAACACGCCGCGCGGAGACAGCGCGGCACGGAACTACCCCCGTGTGCAGGGATCGAGTAATACACAAAATCGCAGCAGTCGTTAAGGCATGCAAATGGCTATACATAATTGTCCGTCACCTGAGCGTCAAAGGCGAAAGTCACTTGTAAGTACGTGGTCAAAAGTACCTAGGAATCCACTGCGCACGCCTCTCGTCAACGCAAGAGCTGCGCCTAGGCTCTTCCTTATTTGGCAGCTACCGTCATGCTCCCTCGCAAGGCTAGCCTAAGGCTTGGAATCGGACATGCAGTCCAAGAACCAACTAGGCCTTTTATCCCAAGCCCTCACCTATTGTAGAAAGCACATCCGGGAGGATCTCTCCATCAGACCGACCGGCAGCCGGGCGGAATATTGCTTCGCACGCGCTTGGTAGCTTTCGCGAGCCGATCTAAACCAGCGGCGGGCTTTGGCCCACACCATAACCTTTTCCTCTCTTCACGAACCTCCACGGCCCCTTCCGCGACCTCCACGTCCGCCCCGCCCCATGCCTCTGCCTCGGTCACCACGTCCGCCGTGGTCTCCGCGCTGGCCGCCGCCGCGACCTCCGCGACTGGCCTGGTCACGTTGTTGCTGGTCCTTGACTAGGTCTATTATCTCGTCGGGTACGCGCAGGTATTTGATCTAGTCACTGGTCAGCAATGGCGCTCAAGCAGCGTCCAAGGCGCATTGATGACGCACGTTGTTGCCGCGAATGTACACTTCAGGTAGTCTCCAGAAGCGGTCGCCCTCAGGGCTGGTCTGGACGACTTCCTTCAAGGTGAGGTTCATCCAGTTGTCGCAGTTGACCAGGTGGCCGTTCAACGTCTCGCCGTTCTTCAGCTCAACGAGCATGGGGTGGCCTTGGGCGGCATTGAGGAGGCCTAATGGCAGCTTTTTCGACATGAAGTCAGCACCTGGACAAGGATGTCATTCAATACGTAGCTCTGCGGGCACGTCACAGCAGGGCGGCTGACCATTGTGGCGGGTGGGTCTGATGGGCAGGACTGATAGCACAGTTGCGCGGCTGTGGCGCTGCCCGAATCGTGTCAAAGAGGTTGGTTGCGGGGGAGTAGGTAAGGTTGTTTGATGGAGGCGGCTCGGTGTTGCAAGTGGCCAGTGACGGCAACAACGAGGCACGCCCGAACATTGAGCCGATCCGAGACACGGCCTAGGTACCTACGGTAGGTTCGCTCATTTGCTCCCGCGCAAGGCGAAACAAATTCCCTCCGCATCCCAAATGCCAAACATCGGCCAAACCTTCTCCCCAAAGTCCTTGCGCGGCCTCGCCCAGATGCCTGGGCCGGGAGCTTGGGGGTAATTCTGGGCCTGCGGGAGCTCGCAGCCCCTTGGGGACATGGCACCGGTCTCAAGATGCTGGTCGGCCGTTAGAAGCGTCGCGGCTTCGCGTCTAGCTCTACTCAGCCCCGAATCACGTGTAGTTCGCTGACGCGTCTGCAGATGCGGCGGCGTAGCGCCAACAGCACGTTAAGGCTAGACGGGAAGCCCTGTGGCCATTTTAAGATGCTGCTGCCTGGTCCTCAGTGTCCCAGGCCACGCGCGCTGTCTCCTCTCTCGCTCCACTCTGGTCGTCTTCACTGTTCTCTTGTTTGTTCCTGACAGTCACGCTGGGATATCCCATCCACCATGCGTGCACCTTTGCAGGCCTTCGCCGTACTTCCGGCTATTGCCGCCGCCCTGGTGCTTCCTCCTCGCCCTAGCACCGCAGAAGCGGCCACTGCGGAAGCAGACTCCACGAATGCTGTCGTGCTCAACCTTGGTATGACCTTATATAAGACACCCTCGACGCTCAGAGGTGCTAATCGCTACCATGCAGACGCTCGCGACGCCCAGGCTTCCTTCGTTGTTCCCTGCCAAGGCTGTCTTGGCGGGGATGATGACGACTCCCTCGTATGGCCGCCTCTCTTAAAAGTCTCCGTTTGCACGACTAACCGCTGCCTCAGGTATTCGACTTCCAAGCGTTCCCTTCGGAACACCCTTGTGGCGCTTCCAACATCACTCTTAATGCTCAGCCTCTAACACAGGAGTGGATCGGTACTCACGCCAGCGGCAACGGATCAATCACCAGTGCCAATGGAGACGATGCACCAGATCACAACTTGGATCTTTCTTGGGAGACGAGCTGTCTGTTTGACGTTACCGCCGAGGCAGGAACCAACGAGAACGACAAAGATGCTGCTCAGCTCTTGACAGTTCGCATCAAAAAGGTCGATGACAAGTCTGTCCAGGAAACCACCGGTTTCACTGTTTCCTTTAGGCAAATCGCACAAAAGGTCGAGCTCCTTCGCCTAGCCACCACGCCTGTCACTACGGCCGTTGAAGGCAGAATTGCCGAAGACTGGCGAAACCCTCCGGCCGAACTCAGGCTCGTGTCTATCGATTTCAAGGATTTCCCCGAAGGATTTGTTTCGCAAACTGGTACCATCGAGGACGAAATTGAGCTTCTTCGCCTGTTAGAAGCTGAAGAGAAGGAGATAAAGGAGCGCATTCTTAACCAAAAGAAGATCATCCAGGCCCACATGAGAGAGAATTCCCACTCTTTGAAGGAACAGCTTCAGACGTGCGACAACCTCTCTTGCCTTGTCAGGGCATTGGTGCACAAAGCACATGGCGCCGTAAAGGTTATTTACGTTCATCTTCGATCTCGCCCTCAACAAACCCATTGGCCAGAAATGAACCACGACCCATTCCACCGTCTCTCCCACGAACACGCCGGGCAGGCTTTTTCGGAAATACTCGCAGCAGATGCTCAAGGACCTCCCTCTGACTTCAACGAACCTGGAAACCAAGGTCCACCAATGCCACCCTTTGGAGGACTTGGTGCCAACGGCCCACCACCGCCACCGCCACCGCCACCTCCATTTGGCGGTCTTCCGCCTCCGTTTGGCGGCCCTCGAGGTCATGGTCCCCCGCCGCCAATGCCGCCTCCGTTCGGTGGTCCGCAAGGCCACGGTCCGCCTCCTCCGCCTCCTCCGCCCCCTCCGCACCATGGTCCTCCACACCACAGAGGCCCGCGTCCCCTTCACACGGTCCTTATGACTTTTGCCTGTCTGACTGGACTCGTTTGCATTTACAGCTTTCTTCATAACCACTGCTGCACCCTTAGACAACGCACTGAACGTCGTGCTACTCGCGAAGAACGCAGAACTGCGAGGCAATATCGCCGGCTTGCGCGCAGACACGCGTGGAAGAACTGGTGGACAGGCAAACGAAACGACAGGACGCGTCGTGAGGACTACGAGGAGAAGCGGTCTCTGATCCTCAACCAAGAAGACAGGCTGGAGGATGCCATGCAAGAGGAGATCAGACAACTGCGGTTGGAAGAAGCCATGCAAGAAGAGATTAGGCAACTGCGCTGCGCACATGACGTCGTCCATGACATCGTCCACGCAGAAGAGGGGCGTGCCAGACCTTCTTCTCCCAGCTCACCTTCCTGCCATTGCTCGCACGCCCACCCCCACATGCAGCCTCACATGCACTCGCACCAGCCTGCTCAACCTTTCCACCAACAGCAAGTGGTGTACCCACCTCCACACGCAATGTCCCGCACGAGCAGTCTTCCATCATACCAATCGGACACGTGCACCATCGACACGGATGATCAGCCCCCGGCCTACGAGGAGGATGTGGATGGGAGCGACATAGTCGTCGACGGCTTCAGAGAATATACTCCCTCGGTAACGACGGTCTACACGCCGGAGAGCAGCATTCCGGACGTGAGCCCGCGGCCGAGCGCCGAGACAATGAGAGAACTGGACCAGGAGCCCACCGAGGCCGAGTCCATCGGGCTGACGCGCGATCGCAAGAACTAGAGTGGATTGCGCGCACCAACGAGGCGTTTATGGGCAAAAGGGGGAAATTTGGGTAAAACACATCTGGCGCGACTATTTGCTTTTGGCGGAAACACGCCCACCATTACATACAGCGTCGCCCCCTGCATAGACGCGACGAGCTATGTCTAATGCTTTGTTTGGTTTTGGTTGTAAAAGGTAGGGGCAGGTCTGGCGTATATTTTTGGGGATACCTATCTAGTCATTTGCTGCACGCCTCGCCGGCCGCGCTCGGAAGGAGGAACGCGCGAGCCGCGTAAGCTTCGTGAGCTGTTGATCTGTTTTATGGCGCTAAAGAGGGGGGTGGGTAGCTAGGATCCGTGCATTGCAGGCCATCAGTGGCTGTGCAGAATTGAGCACGCAAGGATAAACGGAGGTGCAGGGATAAGTGGTGCAATTGATGATTATAGCTTTCACTCGCAGATCCTCGATGGCGGTGCTGAGAAGTGGTTGTTGCGTGATCTGAGAGCGCTGTGAGCGCTGGGCGACGCTGCCACGGGAAAGACCTCAAAGTTTGTCGGGGTTCCAATTGACGGCGAAAAAAAGACCAAAAAATACTGTACATTTATACATTTTCCCAATCAACGGTGCAAACGAAAAGCACCTTGTTCTACCTAGCGCCTCATATACGAAACATTTCAGCTCCAGACAAACTGATGCCCACTACCGCCTCCTCAGGTACCAGTTGAAGGCCAATTGGTTCGTCTCGTATTTGAAAGGCGTGGGGACCTCGGCCAGGTTCGGCCGGGCAACCGGGTGCCTCAGGTAGACAGCAGCGCAGATGTTCTGGTTGACCTCAAGGTACCTGGGGATGAAGGCGAAGGCGGACATATAAGGCCTGGGGCGCCAGGGAGTAAGGTACGGCTTAGTGGGGTCATAAGGGTTCTCGCGCAGCTTCTCCAAGGCCTCCTGGAGCAGCTCCTCCTGCTGCTCGGTTAACCTGTCAGCAGCAGCCTCCTCTTTAGCAGCGCTCTTAGAATTTTTGGTGAGCTTTGCGGAGATGACAGCCAAGCGGGCCTCGAGGTCATCGGTGACAGAGGTGGTGACGTTTTTGCTGCGAGAGAGCATCTTCCTGAGAGCCTGCTGGAAGCCGCGGAGGTCCTGCTTACGCTTCGCAGTAAGCTCCTCCTTCCCGTCAAGGATGGCCTTTGTGCGGTCCAACAGAGACATCAGCACCTTCTTCGCATCGTCATCGTTGGGCTCAGTGGGCTTTTCTGCGGCTTCGGCCTTGGCCTCTGCCTGGGCTGTCTCGGCCTCAGTGTTTGATTCGGCGTCTTCGTCTGGTATGCTCTCTTCCTTGGGAGCCCGCCGCGTCGCGGGAGTCGCTTCCTGGTCCCTGGATTCACGAGGTACGTAGCGGTGCTCATCCTTGCGGGCACCTGTAGCCCACATGACGCGCTCGGGGTCGATTTGGAACATGTCACCGGGATTCAGCTGGTAGCCGGGATAGATCATCTGTCAAGGCGCGGAATATCAGTACTGCCACGCATCGGAAGCCGGATCGGAAATAGGCACCTTCTTTCCATTGACCTTGACCCAGCCGTGTACGACAAACTGTCTGGCCTGCCTGGCGCTGCTGGCGAACAAGGCGCGCCAGATGGCGGTGTCTAGGCGGCGCTCGATAGGTCCGTAGGTCATGGCCATGTAGGGCGTCATTGGGACTTTTCTTGGTTTCCCTTCGACTTCCTCGCCGCTGCCTCGGCCGGTGGCCATCTCGCTACCGTCGGTGCGGGCCAGGTAGGTGTTGTCCATGGGAACAACGGCGGGTAGGGTGCGGCGGAACATGCGCTGCCATTGCTTCTCGCGGATCTGTTCACCGTGGTAGGCGCGCGACCAGGCCTTGGCCTCCCATTTTTGCTGGAAGAAGGTCTTACCGCCGAGCGACTGGCCTGTGGCGCGCGAGAGGTTGTAGAGGTTCTCTTTGGACCAGTCGGCCCGCAGTTTCTGGACGAAAGTGAGCGCAGGAATGGGTGTAGGAAGAGATGAAGGGGAGACGTACGGGCTTCTTGAGCCAATGGAAGCGCTTGCGCATGGCGGGCGGACGGCGGGGGTGGAGGGGACAGTGAGCACTCAGTCTCTCTCACTTCAGTCCGTCAAATCTCATACTCTACGCCTCTTGGCAATAGCGGCGGCTCGCTGGTCCGAGCTCCCTCCGATCAGAAAACTGCCCGCCCATTTTGCGCGCGTCGCCAGTTCCAATTCTCATTCTCGCACTTCACGAGCTACTTTTTGGTTTCACTTCACTTGGGCGCGTCTACAGTACTGCTGTCGCCCGCTATCCACCTCTCTGTCTCACCAACTTTCGCGCCTTCCCCACCTCGCCTTCCGCTCTACTTCCTCTAGAAAAATGTCCGACAACAAGGTCCAGGCCGTCGAGCCCGACCCGGCTGCCACTTCTCTCCAAAATGACCAGACCGTCAACCCTCCCGCCGAGACGCCCGTCCAGGCGCCCGTTGACGCGACCAAGCCCGCCGACGAAGCCAAGCCCGCCGAGGAATCTAAGCCCGCCGACGAGGGTAAGCTGCCTACTGTCGCGCGTAGTTTGGCTTCATTCTGATCGACTTCTCGCAGCTCCCGCCGACAAGCCTAGCAATGGCGACTCCAAGTCTGAGAGGCCTCGCAGGCAGTTCTCCAACCAAAAGAACCGTAACAACAACAGATCAGTTCTCACCAGCGAGCCTGAAACCGATGACCCGGTCTTGATCCGCAAGCAGGTGACTACTCATCGCCCTGCGCACTGCTTACCTTTTCTAACCCGCCGCTAGGTGGAATTCTACTTCTCTGACTCCAACCTCCCCGCCGACGCCTACCTCATGAAGCAGGTTGGCGGTAACGAGAACAAGTCGGTTCCCATCAAGGTCATTCACGGCTTCAAGCGCATGCGCCGCTTCCAGCCCTACTCGGCCGTCGTCAACGCTCTGAAGGAGAGCGACTTCCTCGAGGTTGTGAACAATGACGAAGAAATCAAGCGCAAGGTGCCTTTGCCCGAAGAGTACGGCAAGTCCACCGACACTGCGGTCAACATCTACCAGGACCGCGCCCAGCCGCGCAGCATCTACGCCAAAGGCTTCGGTGAAGAGACCGCCAGCACCCAGTTCGACATCGAGGCGTTCTTCATGCCTTATGGACCTATCAAGGCTGTTCGTCTCCGCCGTGACAACCACGACAAGTCCTTCAAGGGCAGCGTGTTTGTCGAGTTTGACAGCGAAGCGACGCAGCAGGCTTTCCTTGCTCTGGACCCTAAGCCCAAGTACAAGGGCCAAGATCTCGACATCAAGAGCAAGAAGGATTACGTCGAGGAGAAGGCCAAGCTGATCAGCGAAGGCAAGATTCGTGCGAGCTCTCCTACGAGGCGCGGCCGTGACGGTGGTGACTGGAAGCAGAGTAGGGGTGACTTCCAGAAGAGCGGCGAGTTCCGTGGCCGCGGTGGGCGTGGTGGACGTGGTGGACGGGGCGGCCGGGGCGGCCGTGGTGGCCGTGGTGGCCGTGGCGGTCGCGGTGGCCGTGATAGCCGTGACAGCCGTGACGACTCTCGGGCTGAGAAGGCTGAGAAGGAGGACAACAAGGAGGCGCCTAAGGAAGCGGAGAACAAGCCGAAGTTCGACAAGAAGTCAGTTTCTTCGCAACGTCATGACAACGGAAACGCTGCTAACCAAACCACCAGCGGCATTCCCATCGTCCATGCCAGCGAAGCGCCTGCCGCTGACGAAAGCAGCAAGAAGCGCGCTCGCGAGGACGACGGCGCGGCCGATGGCCAGAACGAAGCGAAGAAGGCCAAGGCTGACGAGGCCACCATTGCTTAATACCCCTAACGTGGCATCTGGAATGCTCTACGACAGTATTATTCATTGTCGTCTCACTAGCAAGTGGGCTACTCCACCCGGGACGTAACGCTCAGGATTTTGGGAGAGCAGAGGGAGGGGTCTACGATCTTGCATTCGGACTGAGGAACTGACAGGGTGGCATTGCATTTCTCTCCGGTATAGGCGCCACTAAGGACATTAAAAGAAAAATAGGGCCGGTATTTTCGTTGTGCTCAGGCGTTTTGAAAAAATGGCTATACATAGCATTCTCCATCATCAGGCAGGGAAAAAAAGTCTACTTCATCTACCTAGTCAGTTTTCATGCAAATAGGTCTTGGGGGCCTCCACACCCAAGCCTTTCCTCGGCGTTTCCGGTCAGTGACGCGTTTCCCCGTAGCTATGCGTCCCTAGCCTACTGCCGGTCCACCGCCGAGGGCGCCTCTACTCGCTCGTGCTCTCTTCGAAACACATCGAGTCTCTTGTCGAGGCAATTTTTGCATGTGCAGCATGCCCTACCCTTGCATGACATGCGCCAAGCGCACAATAACGCACCGCTCCTAAACATTGGCGCCGATGACGAGCGACTGCAGCAAGGCGGACAGTGGACAATATTCAGTTGCGCTTTAATAACTCTTTTGACAAATCTACGTGGGTATATGTGAGTATGTGCGTGTGCAAGTGACAGTGACAGTGTGGTAGCATCCATCCCGACACCACCTTCCGCCTCCATCACCACCACAACACCCTGCTGGTGCACGCAACCCACCCCAACGAGCTCCCAGGCCCAATAGAACAAGAACAGAATGCTGAAACCCGCAGGATCTTCCAGGCCCGGTGCAACGCTGCCAATGCCGATTCCGATGTTTCCGTTATGCTGTCCCCAAAAACGCCTTGTGCTATGCACTCTTGCCGTCTTTCCGTTTTCCGTAGCAGATCTTTTCCTTCAAACGCCAAACAAAATGCAAAGAAACGGGTATAGTGTAGTCCAACAATCTCTCTCTTTTTTTTTTTTTTTCTTCAGGCCGGTATCCGTTATCGCGCGGATCCTTGTGCACCTACTTGTCCGCCTCCTCCACCTCCTCCACTAGAAACCTCGCGTATTGTGGAGCCCGCAGCCCAGGCATGGGTCAGAACGCTCGAGACCTTCGCGTCCTTAGCCTTCTGCAGCACGGGTGGGACCGCCGAGGGCCGTTCCGGATACTGTGGAGTACCCGCGTTGGCGGCCTGAGCGTCGATTTTACTCTTGTGCATGAAGGGCTGGGCAACTCAAGTCGTGTCCTGTTTTGGGGGCCACGAGTCGTTCAGTCGCCCCACAGAATTTGCAGGATGTTGACAGAACTCTCAGTCTTCTCTGTTGAGCCGGGGTGCTTTTTGACGCCCTTGTTGGCCAAGAACAAGAACGTGACGGTGAACTTGACGATCCCAACCAGTAGTAGAGACACGACAGAGCTGGAGAAGCGGTTGCAGATGGCGCCCATGAAAGAGCCAGCAAGAAGGCTCAGGATGAAGAAAACTTTGCGGTTGCGGCCCGGGTTGCGAACCGTGATCAGTTTCTTGTCATGCGCCAACATGACGATGGCTCCCGTCACCATTGTCGTGTTGACCTCGGGCATACCGACGCTCAATGCAAGCGAAATCTGGCCTCCGGAGGCCAAAGCAAGCAACGCAATGCAAGCTAGAGCCGAGGGGTCTGCTCCAGAGTCTTGAATGCCGTGGTTGAGTGACCAGTATCGAACGCCAGTTGCAGACAAGATAAGCGCCGTCTGCCAGGCATTGACAAACATCAACCAACCTCGGCGCTTCTTGCCAACGAAGTTGTTGAAGTGACCGAAGATTGCCGCGCCAAGGATGAAGCAGCAAAATGATACGGCGATATTGGCTTCTGTCTGGAGAACTGCGTGGGATTCCAGGGCTGAGAGCGCAAAGTTGACAAGATTTCCGGTTTGCTTGGAGCAGAAAACGCCGAAGAAAGCGAATGTCATGGCATCTTGGATGCCGGTAGCGAAGGTCAAAATGTACAGCTCCATTTCGAGGAGACTGTCTATTGCTATCTCTTGCTTGAGGTACCCAGCCCATCGCTGAGCGAATGGGAGGTTTCGCAACTCTTCATCGGGGTCCGAGTATGGTAGCTGTGTCTGGGCTTCCAAGGCCGCCGGGCTGACGGTTCCTGTGCAGCTGCTGACTATACGGGGTCAGCTAGATGAGTGATGGAGGTTGATCTGTAAGACATACCCGAATCCGGAGTTACAAACTCCAGCTTCCTGTCTGTATCTGTGGCTGCGGTCGAAGGCCGACGGCTGATATCTATCTTCTCTGTATCGGTGGCTGAGGTCGAAGGCCGACGGCTGACATCAATCTTTTCTGCATCGGTGACCGAGGTCGAAGGCCTGCGGCTGATATCCAGAGACTTGGTCGACATGGTTAACACGGTTGGGGAGGAATACAAGCACCAGTTCCAGTTCTGGACTGTCACGGGCTGCCGCTCCTTTAAGCAAACGTCAGACTCGGGCTCGGGGCCTCACTGCAGAGTCCAGCATCAATGATCGGCCAGGCACGATCTGCGGTCGAGCCGGCCTAGCCTCACTGCTCGAAACGCACGCTTTTGTCAGGGAGCGCTAAAAAGCCCCTAACACATTGATGTTAAGCTCCACATTTGCCGGGAGTGGCGTTGGCAGCAGCCGTCTGACTTGGCTTCTTGGCAGAAGAGATAAGAAAGGACATGGGTGACGCAGAGACTAGTGATATAAAGGGACGATTGGTCAGACGCTGGAGAAAGAAATGCTGATTGTCAGAGTGAAATGGAAAGCAATCATAGTAAGCATCATGCGAGCAGAGAAGAAAGCAGGTCGGTGCTGAAAGGAGACAGGGTATAATCCGGGGGGCCATGGTGTTTCCCGTGGAAGGGACCCCCTTCAGCCGTGAGCGGAGCCCAAGGGGCGGACGTGGGAGGGTGCTGAGGTGTCACAGTGATCCCCAGCCGCGGAGGAAATTGAGTTGAGATGATGACGCGCTAGCAGCTGCTATGCGGCCTGGGCTCGACTCCGCCCCAGCACCGCTTGGCAAGAGAAGCAAAAAAAAGCCCATGACGCTTTTTTCCGATGACGGAAGGGGGCGGGGAAAAGGCGGAGGGACATGAGACGGTGAGAAAGAGAGAGAGAGGTTGGGTTACCTACCACTTGGCGGTGGGCCCCGACTGGGTAGCGCAAGATACGCCACCTCGGCGACGCGCAGCTCTTGGCGGGACGCGGCGGAATGGGAAGTATACGACGAGGACGCGCAATGGGGCTCGAGTAAGTACGACTTGGGCGGAGTGGGGCCTGCACTGCCTCAGCAGATGCAGTGCAGCGGAAGGTGAGAGTGGGTGGGTTGTGGCCCTGTGGGTGGCCAGCTAAGGTACCTACCTACAATACAAGCAAATGGCAAATGGCGGATCGCCCGTCGATCCGCACGGGACTCCCCCTACGCCAAGACCCGCCGACCTACATTTCCGCTGCCTCATCATCGACAGCGCTGTTTGGTGCTTCCTTATCTCTGCCTCTTGCGCGACACGCAATGCACTCTTCGATCGCACTCCATCTTTGCCTTGGCACTGCAATGCTCGTTGCCGCTGCACACTCATGACGCCCGCGCGCATTGGCTTCATTTCCTGAGTAGAGCGATCATCGCCGCCCGACCGACCTCTGTCTCGTTTCAAGATGACTTTTGGCCCTCCTTTTTCCGCCACGTCGGTTCACCCCCGAGTCAGCCCATCCTTCTGGGCCCTCTGCTTCCGTATATGGAAGTCGGATGGACATAGCGCCTGTGCGGCCCGCCCGGAAGCTTGTGACAACCTCACCTTTCTACCCCATGCCCCCGCTGGACCCACCCGGCCAAGCCTGCGCCTACATCCACCACAGGCTCGCAATCTCTCAAAGCACCGCCTCTCTGCGCTCCTCGACCCCACGTGTTGCTCCTTTCTCCATCTCCTCTATTCTTGTAAAACGCATTCGATGTCGACTACAACGCAACAACCAATGCACCAGATACCTTTTCTTTCTTCTCCAATGGGTTACGAGCCTGCATTTGCGGGTGCACCCATGAGACAGCTTATAAAGCATACAGTACAACTTACAAACCCATATCTCCTGTGCTGAGCAGCTTAGGGCAGTTTATGGACTCTATATGGTCAAAGTGTTATAGCCAGCATCATCGTCCTCAATCTCAGAGGCCGTTTGTTGGATCGTGTTTGACGTTTCAACCATGCTTCACTATTGGACAATGCATCAGCATGAGGCTCTGAAAAACGTGTCTCGCGTGTTCCGCTCCTTGCGTCGTTCATGGGTTTCGTCCCTGTTAAAGTAGATACGTAATCGATCGTCGGCCCATGCTCCTATAACTGCTCATATGACTGGTTGTTCGTGAGAGCTACAGCTTGGTACCTGTCAATCACTGGAGGGCGAGCTTTACCCGACTGATTCTCTTGTTACGGGAGGCTAATCACGTCACAATCAACTTGGACACGTATCGCCCGAGCTTTCTCCAGTGTTTACTGTTTTGGAGTTATCAGGGAGATACAGACTCCTAGTACGCCCTTCGTGTCCGCCTCGGGCATGAACGTCACGAGTCGAGCCTTCAAGCTGGGGATTGTGTAGTTTCATTTCCGTTTCAGATAGTCGAGCCCGTCGGATACACGTACGTCGTTAAACATGATGTGCGCTCTTAGCTGACCGACTCGACGTGATACCATGCTATGTTGATCTTCGCACATCACTGAGCAGACGTGCGTAGGCGGGTAGTTTGCAACGCCTGAGATGATTATCGATAGAGGAACTTGTATTCGCTAGAAGCGAAATTGAACAAGGTGGTTATATGTAACACTATATGCTCCAAAGGCCACTAGGAAGCACGTACATCGAAAGGTCGTAGCTATATAAGAAAGGCGTTGTAGGAACCCGTTAATATTGTCTTTGCATATGTTTGAACATCAAGACAATCGATGAAGTAACTCAAGGACCCGGTGATTTGATAGGACTTTCACTACTACGGGATATCATTAGTACAGCGTTATATGTTCGTTTAGTTTCCCACTTAGCTTCCAACCCATTATTTTAACATGAAAAAAAAAAAAAAAAAAAAAAAAAAAAAAAAAAAAAAAAAAAAAAAAAAAAAAAA